AGAGAGAGAGAGAGAGAGAGAGAGAGAGAGAGAGAGAGAATAAAATCATAAATCTGTCAGATCTTCCGCTAGGCCTTTCTGCCTTCTAGGGCTTCTTCAGGCGGATTGATGTGTATTTGTCACCGTTGGTTACATGACGTCATCAATATTTGCATACTCAACGAGTTTAGTTAAATCATCAATAAACAAACAAACTGACGTCACAAACAATTCCGTCCCTTCATATTGCAGAGTTATCTGCTCTTGTGAGCAGCTATTGATTGTTACGTCATTAGTTTGTGTGAAACGATTACGTCGTTTTCTCAAAATATGATGACGTTACTCTAACAAAAAAAAATGACGTAACAATCAATACCTGCTATCAAGAGCAGATAATACATTGTAAAAAATATTGTGCATTCAAGGTCGGTTTGAGGGCTTTTATAAACATTTTTGCTTTACATTCTCTTGCAACTGTATCGTCGCTTTTCAGTTTTTAAATAGGTCACACATAAAAATCATCTTTAGAACATTGATGCATATTTGCTACTTTTAAAAATCTGAGTTCATTGTCCTTCATTTGTTATTTCAATTCACATCCAGTCTGTCCGATATTTCACCACAATGTTTACATATTAAAGAGTGAACAGCATTCTTAGAATTCTTAGTTAATGTCTGATCTAGTTTTTATTTTGGAACCATTTGCAAAAACGTAGTCTTTACATTCAATGATAATCTTACATGTACCACACCTTGGTTTCTTACTTTTTTTTTTTAAACCAGTGACAACATTTGTGTTATTCATATCAAATTTGAATGTACATAGTAAATGTTTCAAGTTTTTAGGTTGTCTTTTACAGTTTATAATCTTCCTCTTATCAAAAATACACTTCATGTTCTTACTGTTTTTCATAAAATTCACAAAATGTTTAACGACAGGAAACATGTTACAATTATTTGGATTGTACGTAGTAACAATTGGTATGATAACAGAATCTTTGGTGTTAGCTCTTTCTAAATTAACAATGACAGGGCCTTTCTCTTCAGCTCTTTGTAAAGCGTTTTGTACCACTTCAGCAGGATAACGTTTGCTTTTAAGATAAAGTTTCAAATCGTCCAATCTGTCTTCTAATAATTTTTATCGCTAACCACCGTGACTAATTTCGATGCTAAACAAAATGGAATGTTAAGCTTCTTGTGTTTAGCCTGATTTGAAAAGAAATCCAAATAATTGTGAGAATCTGTAGGTTTACAATATATATCGCTAACAATATTTTGTCGTTTAATTTCTACAAAAAAAATCCAAGAAAGGTATTCCTTTTTCACTAAACTCCATTTATCATTTATTATCTACTATATATATAAAACAAAAACAAAGAATTTCTTAGTACCTCCCTAGCGTTTTCACCTCTTTAGAGGTTCACCAGGGGAACTCTGATATATGTATGTATATTATGTGAAGCTGTTAGTGTTTCACACTCATTAAACTTTATATAATTATGCAGATGATAATACGCTCTTAAAGATATGTGATACTGTTGTAAATTAAACATCCTGTGTTGAAGAAGAGAGCAATGTTCTTATAAACTGGCTCAATTTTAATGGTATGATGGCCAACCCCTAGAAATGTCAAGCTATAAGGTATTGGCAAAAAGACTTACAGTAATATCAAGTCTTTTGTTATAGAGGGTGTGGAAATACAATGTGAAAATTGTGTGAAGCTTTTGGGTGATGATATTGATTTTCTTCTTAAGTTTAATGTACATTTATTTTGCTTTTGTAGAAATGCTTCGAAACAACTAGCGGTTTTAAAGAGACGGGGGGATAATCTTACTAAGAAAGGATAAAAATATTTTTTTAAGTATTTTATATTGTCAGATTCTAACTACTGTCCTCTCGCCTGACATTTGTGTACATTAACAAATACAAGAGGAGCAGGAGCGATCGCTACATTTTATCTAAAATGATCATGTGTCCCCGTCACTGATATTTTAAGAAACCACAGACTTGATTATTTTTTTTACATATTATTCGTTTGAAAAGTATGGCCGAAGTATGGCCGAAAATTACAAGTCGTTTCGTGGGCTGATACGTACCTGGGTTAGTCAGGTCTGCTCGTGTACTATCTGCACATACCAGGGAGAGTGAGTTGTCCCCCTTTGGGATCCTTACCACCAAGTTTTTATCCATATTTTTATTTTTATACATGTATGCTATCAGTTTCGTTTCATGGATTTCTCCCCCTTTTAAGGCAACATTGTTACTCCTTTTAGTATCATGTGTGTCCTGTATGCTTTATGTGCTACCTGTTTTTAATATCATAATTTTGGAATGCAAAGAAGTTTATAGATCTAAATCTTATTGGTAAGTAACATCAATATCCCTTTTAAATCAAACTATATTACATGTAGTGAATATCCTGTTAATTTTTACGTTTTGCTATATAAGCATTTATTACCCCTTTGAGAAAAATCTAGGAATCTGATTGGTTAAAAACTTCAGTGTACCAAACCGCATTCGTAAATCTCAGGGGGTATACGAAAATCTCAGGGGGTATACGGTCATGTCACGTGACTCTCAGCAGTAATACGGTTGAATCACGTGATTTTACAAGGGTTATACGGGTCACGTGTCTTTGTATCTTGCGGCCGAGCAACGGGAGACATCTCACATTCGTCGTCTGCTTCGCTGTTTGCAAAATGGCAAAACGTTTCGCTTCGCATACTGATTAGGAAATACTCGCCAAAAGGGCTAACTATGTGCCACAAAACACACAAAAGTCGAACAGACGAGCGGCAAGCATGCTGAGGACGTATTTAAAAGAAAAGAATCAGGAAAAACAGTTCGAGGAATTTGATAAAACGAAACTAAATGAGGTATTGTGCCATTTTTATCTTGACAACAGAAAAGTTGACGGGGAACTGTACAAAACCAATATAAAAGACTCAAAGGGGTAATAAATTCGTTACACGGATTTTTGGCAGGGTTTATGGGATGGGATGACCCTACAGGATTTCGTATTTCCTATATACGAAACCCTTTAGGGTCATACCATCCCGTATACACTGCCAAAAATCCGTGTAACTAATACTATGTTTATTTCACTGTAATGGTGCTTTAAACCTAATTAGAAATACTTGTGTGACAAACACATTTTGAGTACTTAAACCTAGTTTTATAAATTTCAATTATTATGCTGCCTTTCTGTGATTATGTATGTGCTGCTTTGCTCGCGTACTTTGTTTTACTTGTTAAATTTCCTCAGTAATATTTGCTTGTCATTTAACTAGTCTTTGTAATTACCCGCATGTGATTATACTGCATGTTTGTCGCAAGAATAGATTAGCAGTGCTAATGTTTTATTGTTTTAAATATGCAATGATAAAAATAAACATTCTTGTATTTTGTATCTTGACATAAATAAGTAGCAATTCGATTAGCCAAAATTTGCAAAACTGAATAGAAGTAAGGTCATTACTTTCTTTCTACCATTCCAAAATAATTCTCCTTTTATTAATTTCATAGTTAATTTTTCCACATTTGTTTTTCGTGTCGATGTTCCGTTCAGTCAACCTAACTGCCAAGATCCCTCAGGTAGTAAATATTTGCCAAAGGCCCAAAATATCAGGGGTGGTTGGAATTAAAAGTGTACCACCGGGCCCGATCTTGCTCCGGTCCACCTTACGAAAATTACTTCCATATTAGAGGCATCTGTTATCCACAATGATACCATTTAACCGAAGTTCATTTGGCAAGCTGTTCCACACCCGGGAGGCCTCACAAGAGTGATGTGATATACAGATGTAATATACCTTGATTATTATTTCATAATTGCTGTACAATATGCATTTCCCACAATCAAATATATTAAGTGATTGTTGTAATTTACTGTTTGTAGGGTTGGACCCTCAGCTGGAAAAAAAATCGACGTAACGTCAGCATTGTGTCTTTCTGAAGAGCTCGTGAAAATTATCAAAAGGGACGAGCAAAGAAATAAACAGGTAACTACTTTCTTATCATGCTGTAAGAAAAAAACATGAGAAAAATATGGTCAAATTAAAATCACCAGGAAATATACAGTAAATGATCAATATCAAACATGTACCAGAGTCGAAAACCTTGTGATGATAACAATCTCTAGACAAACGAGGTGAGAAGCACCTGATTAAAAACTGAAATTAGTCAATGCTGAAAATCTAACAAATAAACATTTGTACTTCATGATATGGCATTTTCGTCCATTTTGAACTCATAAACTGTATGAAATGTCGAAAGAATGAAAGTTCAAGTTTTATAATTTCCGATATACAAATATATGGAAAAAGGGGGAATAATACTATAAAACTCTGTATTACGGTACAGTTTACAACCTCAGTCAACAGACAGTTAAATGTACAAATGCTATTATTATGAGGTTAAAACATCAGATAGGATATTTAAGTCAACAATTTAACTATACTTAATTACACTCACTGTGGTAAACTATCTGGACACTACAGGAAAACAAACGGATGAAACAGCGGGAGAAAGACTTTGAAGCTCTTCAGAACGAGAAGGACACACTTCAAAAAGAAAACAAGAAGTTGGAAAGTAAATGCCAACAGACCGACGAATTGCTTGAGGTCATCCAAACTCTAAAGACTGAAAACAATAAACACAAGGAAGACTTAAAACGGAAACAAGTTGACGTCAGCAGTTTAACAGAACATACCTCGGAGGACTCAAGTGAACCATGTATCAGGTATCTAGTATGTAAAAATAGTTAACAGAAAGGTATTAATCAAGCATTAATCATTTGGCAAAATGTATATGTATTTTGTTGTATACTAGTCCGAATACTATATCAAGTGAATACAATACAGTTTTTTTATGAGTTAGCAGGGCCTCTTAGTAGTAGGTTTTAATACATTTGTAGTCTAGGTGATGGGACGAGTTTAACGTTTTTGAAGTCGGTTTCGTTATTTGCTTAAAATTTCTGGATGTTCTGTACATCCGTCTTAATCATAGTTTTTCGTAAAGACGCTTATTGCTAATTAATTATATCCTCCATCTCCCTATTGTGATTGTTATATCATAATGATGTCATAGACCAGAAATAAGGCAGGATACCTAAATCAGAAAGAGACGCTATTTATTTTATTATTATTATTTAAATAATTTGAGTTTTGGAAATACTGAATTAGAAGTGTCTAACAGTACATATTATCTGAATTAGCTACACTATAAAATCTACTTTTTTCCATTTTCATTTTTGAATATTTGTTGTGTGTATAGATAACATGCAAGCTAAGGTCTCGTTAAAATAATTAGCTTGCGGGAAATGAAACGTGTTAAATCATATGACAATATTGAATACAGTAGCTGATACAAACTTAAAGAAACACAATATTACATCGATATATCCTAACAGAATATTGATGTATTTGTGCGCAAAGTTTCGCTTTTCTCTGTCCGGAATACTAAAGTAAGACTAATGGAGTAACAATAACTTGTCGTCGTATCTGTGTATTAATATCATCTAAACATAAATAAATGAAAACTTCAAACTCACCCACTATTGTATTCTGCTGTTCAAATAGTAATGTGGAGGAAAATCCAGGTGAGGTTATCCCAAATGTCCCTGACCTCAGTGACCCCAACAGAGCCATGAAGCTTGGGGAGAAGTACAACGAGTTGTTCGACAATGAGTGGACGGACGCCCTGGAGACACTGTGTAGAGATGGGGTCGATGAAGATAGAAATATTAAGAATTTGCTTGACGTTCTGCAGGTTTTCAAATTTTCATAATTATGTTTTCCCCGTATTGAATGTACGGTTTATGGAGAGATATTACATACTTTTTAAAATGACATTAGATTCGCTGTGATGCCAATGCCAGTGGTTATCAATGGTTCAGGTTCATATTAGTTGGTATGCTTTTCAGTCGTTTGTTGTTGGTGTGTACATGCCGCCGACTTTCTGCTACAAATATTCATTTGTTCTTCAACTTGATGCAAGCGAGGTTGTATACCTACTAGCACTTATATTATGCATAACAATACCATGGTAATTATTTAACATTTTTATCATGTGGACGTCAAGTCCTGAACTTTGTTTTACTGAATATCTTGTATACATACATATTTTGCAGAAGTGTTATAGCCTATGTCAAGATCTATCAGAGAAACAGATGACGTCACTAGAAATGGTTTTGCTTAACCCGGTAAGTGAGTGTCTAGTTAAACATGTGTATTTGCAAGGCAATATATATATATAATTTATAACCGCCTATGGTAGAAAATTTCAATGATTATTAATTTGTATTGACACGTGATCAATTCCTCTGAAGAACGTCCTTTTAATTATGATATTATTTCAATATATCTTTGCAATTGTTTTTTAACCTGGAACATAAATGAGAATCAATAATCAAAATAAACGTTCCTAACCTTGACAATGTCAACATTTTCATTCTTTTTAGAAATTCATCAAGAAATTGTTTTTAATCACCAAGTAAAATGTGATGTTAAAAATATTTCTTATATTTAAAAAAAATAACTGATTGACAATGCATCTCATATTAATGTTTTTTTGACAATCATTGGATCGCATGAAAGAATTATCAACAAAACAAACAATATTATCATTCATGTTATTAGGGAGCCTCTGTAACACCTACAAACACCAACTACCCGAAACAAGTATGGGGGGACGCCATGATCTCCAAATCTACATACAAGCAGCTGAAAGACTGTCGGAAAGAGGTGTCGCAAAAGGCTGTGGGGAACATTTTTAAGGTAAGATGGAAAAAGGAACTATATAACATCATGTGACCTGAAAGTTTTAAAGCACAAAAAAGGTTTTGAAATTCAATTTTTTAACCACAACAACTTTGCTTTCGTTGTGCTTAGTTTAAAAACTGTCACTCCTAATGTTTTGCCTTCTTTAATTTAGTATTGACCTTTATTAAAAAAATAAATATATAATATGTATAAGCCTAATGAGTTTTCCTCTTTTAACTTTAATTAATAAGTTAGTGTTATTTCTTGATAGTAACAAGTGTAGTTTAGCTTTGGATGGTAAGTTACAATGTAACTTGGGGTCTTATTCGACTATATAGTGATCAGTTTGTACAATATCTTTGCAAAATCGTATCACATCATATCATACATGTATCATTAGCTGATAGTTGATATGTTAGGGCAATTTACGATGACTTGATAGTCGCAAGTATTGTCTATTTTACTATTTTTTAATTACTATTTTGATAAGTATTTACTACAAATAAGTTTCAGGTTTAGATTTGGATTTATAATCCATAATAATATCCTAGAGATTGAATTTAAAAATATACAGTTGTTAAAATGTGCCTATTACACATCTTCATAATCATAAAGTTGGGATGGAAAGTTGCGTCTGAAACGATTCAAATGTCAAATTATGTTTTAGCCCTAATCTTTGCTTTTGGTTTTCATTCCGGATGAGGCGTTGGTACTGGCCCCATGAGTGTTAACTGATTAGCTAACATTATTCTGTTTAGCCCATATGGTTGATAATGTGAGCTATTGCAGTCTTTGTCTTTTGTCAGGAGACACGGTAGTCTAGTGGGAGGACTCCGGGCTCGTGACCAAAGGGTTGCGGGTTCGCGTCACGGTATGGCACTGTCATGTGTCTTTGAGTAAGATACTCTATTCCGCTTGTTACAGTCTACTCATCTGTGAATGAGTACGTGGTTGGGCAGTGCTAGGATGGTAGAATGCTAGCTTCGAGCGCGGAAATGGCAGCATCGGCTGTATGCTCACCAGGGAGTTGAGAAATATATTGGCTGGTTACAAAGGCCCTATAACCACGGATGATAATTTGTGAACCGCTTTGAGACGACATACGTATGAACCTCGAATTATTATTATCATTATAAGACGGACGTATTATCGTATAGCGTCCGTCTGTCCGTACGCGTCTGTCCTGTTAAGGTTTAGGAGCAAGTTTCTTCAGTGGTCTACAGTTCAGTCAGATCATGTGTTATTGTCCTAAATTTTGGTAGGGCTGTTCATGTTGGGTCTAACAATGACAATATGGTTAATTTGGGAAAATAATTCCTATTTTTGTTAATTTTTGACGTGTTTGGGACTTAACTTTTCTCGAGCAATTTCTCGGCTAAAGTTTTGGTGCAAGTTTCTTCAGGGGTGTACAGTTCCGTCAGATCATGTGTTATTGTCATAATATTTGGCATTGATGTGGGGTCTAAGAAGGACAATATGGATTAAATTAAACAAACAAAAAATATTATGAATATTTATGAATTCGATCTCATGCTCAATATGGATTGATTCTGTGCTAAAACTCACTTTCTTGAAACTGCGTTAAATCATGTCAAACTATCCAAAAGTCAAATGTAAGCATTCAAAACAGTTTTGGGCTTTAAGTCTCTTTTATTTTTTTCCCAAATCATTGACATTTTTTTTTTTTTATTAATTTATAACGGGAACAAGAAATTTAGCTTGAGCACAAAATCCTTGCTTGAGCATGATCATGGTTTCATGAATACGGGTCCTGGCCCTCTGCTAAGCCAAGGTATTTTGATTTCTCCTTAAGAACCACTGACGCAATTGTATCCAAACTTGTTACAAACATTCTTTATAGGGTCCAAGCCATTCCGGAAATCCCAAGATAGCCGCCCTGGTCCCCGTTGACTTTTCGACTTCATCTTAATCGACTGACTCAAAATCATTATACATTTTTGTATGAGTTTCCAACACAGGATTTTTGATTTTCGTACCTATACAGTAATCCTGGATTTCAGTCACGGAAACTGGTTTTGGATTCTACACTTTTGACTTCTTCTCAAGAAAATCAACAGAAACTGATTATAAGCTCTATACACGGGTTTGTGAAATGAGGCCCCGCCTAAGTGTTCTCACTTTCCGTGTCGATGCAGAAATCAAGGATGATGCCCTTATCTTTAATTGGCTGATACTTGTTCTTCTTAAGAACAGATGTAGAGATTGTTTTCAAACTTGTTCCTCAAACGTTAAGGCATATAAAACTATGTGAGCGCTAAGTTGTTTAGTTAATCTTTAAGGGTGCATTTTCAGCTATAAAAGAGCTACAAACAGGTGTTGTCACAGATAATATCATTGTACCTGTCATTGTATTGTTGCTTCTTTGCAGGAACATGCCCGAGCAAAACTTGGATGGATTGCAGAAGACATTCCTGATTTCGTAAAAGGATGTATCGAGGTATGCTGGCTTATGTGTACCCAGGACCCCCCAGTCTTTATCGGAAGCGAGGCAGACGTCGGCAGTGCGTTCGATGGCAATGTGTATAAACCGTACACGATTTCCGGAACAATCGTCTCCTACAACGTTTGGCCACCCTTGTTGCTACACAAAAACGGTCCACTACTGGTGAAGGGGATTGTACAACCGATCAAAGTACCCCGGGCAAAGAAAAACACTGAAGAATCAAAGCATAAAACAACTGTCGTAGCTGACAGACTTAAAAAAAACTTTGGAGAAACGTACAATTCTCCATATGGTCAGAAAAGTACGCAACGCGAAACGGCAACAAAACCAACCAAATATTACGAAAAAGCACAACTTGATAGAAATTTCACTTCTCCACCAAGAGAGAAATACTACAACGGAAGTCATACCGGAAAAAATTACGAAGAGCTTCGCTCACATAATGCTGTTGAGGCCAGAGGCTCCCCAGTTCATCTTACAACTCACAGTAGTAACTACGGAAGCCGTCATGAACCTTATGGAACGACCACACAAACAAATTACCATCAAGACGTTGTAAGACATACTTCCGAGCCATATAAGTTCGAATACAGAGGCAGGACATACGTTTACAAAAATGACCATGCGTATCCAATGAAGGAATACCAGCAAATATTTGGCACGACAAGAGGCGTATCCGACCTGTAACAGCTGTAATGTTGACCGTTTGACAAAGCGGACATTCTATACCTGATACGATTTATTATTTTGAGTTCATAAATTTGTTTTGATAGTACTTTTTTAGTTTGAAAATGATATCACGTGACGTGACAATACTTTACGACGTATTGTGACAATTTATCTTACTTCCTGATAGGAGTAGTTGAAATAAGTGTGTTTCAAAGAATATATTTCTCTTTTTGATGAATGGTGTATGGGATCAACAAGATATCTAAGTATTAGAAATAATTATGATGATGTGTCCAAGCTCGTAATTGCTTTGTAAAATATGATGTACTCGCTAAAGTTTGTATATCATAAATGAAAATAAAATCACCGTGTAAGTGAAATAAAGGTTAAATCATCTCATTATATAGTCTCTACAGCATAAATAGGTCATATAGTAAATGATCCCATTCTTCCGTTGGTTAATGGAAATATTCATTAACTTATGCAATAATGCTTGTCTATACGTTTAGACAAAGGTTTACGTTTTTACGATACCTTTCAGTTATTGTCTTTAAAAAGGACCAGTATTCGTTACTTTACATATTTTCTGGTTCTATTATGTAAACTGGAATGACTATATGATTTTCTTAATATACAGAGAATCCTTATAGATGTTTCAATGTTTTAAATATGTTCTGTGCTCATATACATTTGTTGTCCATTTCAATCATTTTGTTACGAACTTTGCCTGTATATAACATTGTAAGAATGTGATTTTGATTTATGAGTGAAGTATTTCTCACCAATTATTGGATATGATTACAATCACCGGCAGATACAAATTATGTAGCATACATTATCTGGGTGATATTTCATAATACATGATCGAGAGACCTTTTTATTGTGTCTTACTCGAGTTATCTAACATTCAAAGAAAAAAAGGAAAACGATCTACAATGATAATTTTTGTTTAAATTCTAAAATGTATTTATTGATAATTGAAATGGTCAGGATTTGACCTGTCTCTGTCACATTATCATAGCATTGTGAAAAAAAATTCATCAGTTAAAAAACGGCAAGTCAGGCCACGCCAAATGTTGTTTGGGGAATTACGTTTTTGTAATGGAAATGCAAAAAAATATATAATTATTTTCTGGCGTCATATTTTTGTACTGCCTGTAACGCGAGGCGACATATAGGTATTACTAGGTCGGCGTCGTCGGCTGCGTTGTCCAGAACAAGGTTTCCGTGCGGTTACTTCCCTTGTGTTGATTGAACTCATTCTTGGTACACATATTATATTCCTATCTAGCTCGAATTTTACATTAATTTTCGGGGGAGTTATGCCCCTTTTATTGCCAAATAAGGGCATTGGGTAGAAAAAGCAAGAATTTATTTTTTATTTTTTTAATCAGTTTCTTTCAAATTTTGTACGGTAATGCTATAAAGCAATAATGTTCAACATATATGAGGTTTTCTGTCGAGTTTCAACTTTCCGCGTTTTGGCATTTCACACTTAACATAGCAACACTGTTCATTGTTTTTGCCGTAAATTTTTATTTGTTTACGCGATAACTCTTTTTTCACTAAAAGCGCTGAGCAGGCGACACATCCACTCCTGTGGAATTCTTGTTAATTCTTTTGACTATACTTCAAATATTTTGGTTTTCAATTTTAATCGATTGTGATTATCCGTAAAACATTGAAACATCCATCATGTTACTACATCGTGAATAAGTTTCCGCCATTTTCTAGGGTTCACAATTTTAAATTTCAATAAGATTAGACATTATAGTCCTCTCTTACAGCAAAACCCACAGGTGAACATATGATTTACATATTTTAGACATTGACATTTTAGATAAATAAAGGGGAGGTAACTCCTCCGAAGTAGATTGAATGACAATGATGTGTGAAGATAGTTTGCCTTTTAGTTAAGGACTAGTAATTAACAAAGTTTACAAAACTGGTTCTATTTAATTGTAATATATTTATACTTGATTGTTTTTAATATGATACAATTGGCTTTATCTCCCCATACATCACATATTAGCCATCCAGTAATGAAGTTCAAAAGCCAATTCCTGCAAATGGATATTTAGTCTATTGGTAAGGTCACATCAATACTTTATTCTACTGAGACTGATACATGTTCAGAGGCAGGAATTACTTCACATAATAAGTATAATAATACCAAATATGTGGTATCCAGAGTTAAAGTACATAATTACAGTTAATTGTTGTTTACCATGAAAAGTCACTTTCTCTGTATTAATCTAAAACGGAAATGTGTAAAATATGATACTAATACGTTCACCAGTAGATGTTGCTGTAGGAGAGGACTTATTATTAGTTATCAATTATGTATCTTTTGCTATATCAAAGTATAATTAAGGCATTTCATAATATTATCTACCTAGAAACGAAAACATACATTCACACAACACGCGTGGTAAGAACTTATATTACAATATTAGGGAATCTGTGTGACTGAAGTATACAGTTTAATATATTGGTGAGAATATTCTGGTTATCATTACAACTACCACAGCCCTGTACAATTGTAACAGACTATTAATACTAAGTGTTATGTATACCATGCTTAAGAGTCTGTTGTAAAGTTCGGCTAATATTAGCTAAGGTCGCATTCACTAAATGGAGATTCGATTAACTGACCTTTATAAAGGTCTTAGATGAAGTTACTTACACCATTTCATAGCTAACAACGAATTATGTTAATGTCACGATTCCCAGAAAAGTTTATGCATCAGTTTGTACATATTTATTTTGACCTTAATAGATTTAAACCACTTAGTAGATTGAATTTTATCAATATCAGGAGCAATTCTATTAAATTCATTAAACATCGAGGTGAAAACATTTTTTCAACAATCTTATGTAAGATGTATGAAAGGTAATGAAACACTTTATATCATCTTTATGTTTTTATAGCCGTACATTGATTTTTCCTTTTAAAACTTTAAAATGTTTAAAATTCCACCATTTAGCATTATAGCTTAAAGTTAGACCCAGATGTTTATGTTTTTTTATTTTTGTAATAGGTTCATCATAAAAGGTAACAATTTGATGATTAATATATATTTTCCTTGAAAAAATGACGGAGTCAGTTTTAGTAGGATTACATTTAATTTCCCATATCTTGTCGGCATGTCAAAATATAGTCCTTAACCTAATATTATTCATGTCATTTGAAAGGTTAGATATCATTAACATTATAATGTAAATTTTATAATACAGATTTAACCAGTTTATAGGTGTGTACTACGTATATATCTACACATTGTTATAAAACATTACCAATAGGCATCTTAATGTATTCTCAAAACATCTATTTTTATTATATTTATGTATTTTATATTTGAAAAAAAATGAAGAAAAGTATGGAAATTATGTTTTTTTTATTGTAAAAATGTTTAACGGTTTTGCATTTAAGTATATGCCATCTTTTGTTAATGTCAATGAAAATGAATAAACTATTTTACAAGATATAATTAATTTAGTAAATTTTAACAAAACACACTAATAAGGGAATAACGTGTTTAAGAGAGAATTCCCTAACGTCATGTACAAGGCATTTGAAGCAGCAAGAACAAGCTTATTCAATAATATCATATCAATTAAGGACAGGGATCCTTAAGGGACGCTGTACAGAAACTGTATGTTTAACATATTTAGTGAGTTAATTAGTTATGCAAATTCAGAGAACTCGGATGTTGTCTATAGCGGAATATGACTATATGGTCTACCCCTATTACTTAAATATATCGTTTTAAATATACATTGTGTAACTTTTCAGTCATAACGGTAATTTCTACCTAATATAGATGTACATCAAGATGGGCGCATTGGTTTTAAGATCTTAATCATATCTTAGGCATCAAAATCAGTCATCGGCCGGTTGCGGTAATAGGATTTCGCCTGATACTTAATCAAATTCTGTGTTGTTAATGGCATGTTTTAATAAGGACACCCGACGATACCCTTCAATCGTTTATGTCCTTTGTATTTTCCGTCAATCAACAATATTTTTTCAGCTCTATAATTTCAATATTTCAAACCTCATCAGCATAAAATGTCAACGTACTCGGTAAGTCGTAGACATGTGTTTTTAGTGTGATTTTGCTGGATATCTCTACAAATCTAAATGGAAGAAAGGTCTTGTGTGAGGGCAAACAAACTTTGTTTTGTGCTACATATTTCTTCTGTTCCTTGAGCAGACAATTCTTTATAAGATATCGCTGTAATAATTACTGGTAATTAAAATTATTTAAGACAGCACTGTTTCCTTGGGATTTTTTTTCTTTACTACAAGCCTGTGCATAGTGGATTCTTGAAAACTGGCAAACTCTTCAGGAGACAATTTAATTATATTTGTTTTATCTGTAAGGCCTTACGGCCAAAAGTAAAATGAAAGGTACACTCCTTGTATGCCTCTGTACGAGAAAATGTTTTCCTTGTGTCGCTCACAAGTTGATCTTAAATTAGGACTAACAGCTGTTCAAGAGAGTTGAAGGGAGACAACCTACTCTTTGTTGATAAATTGAACCTTGGCGTCAGTATGATTTTGACACATTAGTCACGCACGAGGAGTTAATGTCGAATGAGTGTATTGATAAACGAAACAATTAAATACATCCCTAATTGAAAATCCAATGTCCCTTGTGAGACAGTATCACAATTTCCACATATTCTAATGAGTCCATTGTTTAATCTATAGCTGATGAATAGTATATGTTTATTATTGACAGAACAGTGTGCTCTCTCAATATTACAGTATTTCAAAGCAATCCAGACATTAATTCAGCCGTTTTTTTTATCAATGAGTCACATGTGTTCATTTTTCTCTACTTCAGGAAACCGGCTACCTAGCTTTTGCACTACTGTGAAGTTTCTCAAGAAAGATCACTTTATGTATATGATTTTATTATAAAATGTCAATTTTCAATCGTTTATAGATCCTTTATTTTACACAATTAATTTCAGCATTTATTAAATTGATATGCATTAATGCTATAATAATCTATGGAAGTATCATTTTTATTGACATTATTTTGCAAACAATTGTGTTTTTCATTTTTTTCAAAATTCACTCCTTTTTACATACATTTCCATTTACAATCCTTAAATTTCTGACAACCTATACATTTTTTTTTGCCGAAAATGTATTTACTTCAAAGCAATAAAACTACAAAATTTGAAGAAATTCTACTGAGAAATGGTGACACAAACCTATTACCTTCAGGTCATTCTTATTTTTAATCAGCCATTTTTGTTGGAGTTATTTTATTAATTGGCATTGAATTCATTATGAATTCATACACCAACAGTATATAATTCTATTCATTCATATGTAATGTTTTAGGGATCTTTCCAAAATTGTATATTAGATTTACCGTATATAATGCTACATTTAGTTAAATTAGGCATATATTACTTCCGTAAACAAACCAAACAAACCAATATTCGACATTTATGGGTGTATAAACGCAAAGTTACAGTTGAATAACAATAACTTGTGAAATATAGCGATCTATGTTATTTAAATCAAATAATCAATTAAGTTATTTCACTACGTTATTTCAGCTATATTTTATTGACCTATTAGTAGCGTTTTTCAATAAAGCACCAATAAATGCCAATGTTAATGACCCGTTCATAGCTATAACGATGAGTAACAATTTAAACTTTCGCATCAAAAGATTAAGAGCCACTCCGATAAGTCAATTGTATTCTGCGTGTATACAGGTTTGAACTTTATTGGGCCAAGGCTTTAAAATCCGTTAACAGAAGGAGTGTAGATATTCTTAGAAGTCACATTTATTATTGATTAATGACAACATAGAACATCTATCCGGCAGACGTATAAAACAACTTAAGGGAATATGTCACTAACGAACATTTAATTATAACACTATACAAAAAATGTGTTATAATGTCACTAACAATATCTGTATACATCATGGAAAATACAGCAGTGACACCATGCCACAATGTTGTAATGTCACTAACAATATCTGTATATATCATAGAAAATGCAGCAGTGACACCATGCCACAATGTTATAATGTCACTAACAATATCTGTGTATATCATGGAAAATACAGCAGTGACACCATGCCACAATGTTGTAATGTCACTAACAATATTTGTATATATCATACAAAATACAGCAGTGATACCATGCCACAATGTTATAATGTCACTAACAATATCTGTATATATCATGGAAAATACAGCAGTGACAACATGCCACAATGTTGTAATGTCACTAACAATATTTGTATATATCATACAAAATACAGCAGTGATACCATGCCACAATGTTATAATGTTACTAACAATATCTGTATATATCATAGAAAATACAGCAGTGACACCATGCCACAATGTCATAATGTCACTAACAATATCTGTATATATCATGGAAAATACAGCAGTGACACAATGCCACAATGTTATAATGTCACTAACAATATCTGTATGTATCATGGAAAATACAGCAGTGACACCATGCCACAATTTTGTAATGTCACTAACAATATTTGTATATATCATACAAAATACAGCAGTGATACCATGCCACAATGTTATGATGTCACTAACAATATCTGTATATATCATGGAAAATACAGCAGTGACAACATGCCACAATGTTGTAATGTCACTAACAATATTTGTATATATCAGACAAAATACAGCAGTGATACCATGCCACAATGTTATAATGTTACTAACAATATCTGTATATATCATAGAAAATACAGCAGTGACACCATGCCACAATGTCATAATGTCACTAACAATATCTGTATATATCATGGAAAATACAGCAGTGACAACATGCCACAATGTTGTAATGTCACTAACAATATCTGGATACATCATGGAAAATACAGCAGTGACACCATGCCACAATTTTGTAATGTCACTAACAATATTTGTATATATCATACAAAATACAGCAGTGATACCATGCCGCAATGTTATAATGTCACTAACAATATCTGTATATATCATGGAAAATACAGCAGTGACCCCATGCCACAATGTTGTAATGTCACTAACAATATTTGTATATATCAGACAAAATACAGCAGTGATACCATGCCACAATGTTATGATGTCACTAACAATATCTGTATATATCATGGAAAATACAGCAGTGACAACATGCCACAATGTTGTAATGTCACTAACAATATTTGTATATATCAGACAAAATACAGCAGTGATACCATGCCACAATGTTATGATGTCACTAACAATATCTGTATATATCATGGAAAATACAGCAGTGACAACATGCCACAATGTTGTAATGTCACTAACAATATCTGTATATATCATAGAAAATACAGCAGGGACACCATGCCACAATGTTATAATGTCACTAACAGTATCTGTATATATCATAGAAAATACAGCAGTGACACCATGCCACAATGTCATAATGTCACTAACAATATCTGTATATATCATGGAAAATACAGCAGTGACCCCATGCCACAATGTTGTAATGTCACTAACAATATCTGTATATATCATAGTAAATACAGCAGTGACACCATGCCACAATGTTGTAATGTCACTAACACTATTTGTATATATCATACAAAATACAGCAGTGATACCATGCCACAATGTTATAATGTTACTAACAATATCTGTATATATCATAGAAAATACAGCAGTGACACCATGCCACAATGTCATAATGTCACTAACAATATCTGTATATATCATGGAAAATACAGCAGTGACAACATGCCACAATGTTGTAATGTCACTAACAATATCTGTATATATCATAGTAAATACAGCAGTGACACCATGCCACAATGTTGTAATGTCACTAACAATATCTGTATATATCATGGAAAATACAGCAGTGACAACATGCCACAATGTTGTAATGTCACTAACAATATTTGTATATATCATACAAAATACAGCAGTGATACCATGCCGCAATGTTATAATGTCACTAACAATATCTGTATATATCATGGAAAATACAGCAGTGACAACATGCCACAATGTTGTAATGTCACTAACAATATCTGTATATATCATGGAAAATACAGCAGTGACAACATGCCACAATGTTGTAATGTCACTAACAATATCTGTATATATCATAGTAAATACAGCAGTGACACCATGCCACAATGTTGTAATGTCACTAACACTATTTGTATATATCATACAAAATACAGCAGTGATACCATGCCGCAATGTTATAATGTCACTAACAATATCTGTATATATCATGGAAAATACAGCAGTGACAACATGCCACAATGTTGTAATGTCACTAACAATATCTGTATACATCATGCATAATACAGCAGTGACACCATGCCACAATGTTATAATGCCACTAACAATATCTGTATACATCATGGAAAATACAGCAGTGACATCATGCCACAATGTTATAATGTCACTAACAACATATGTATATATCATAGAAAATACAGCAGTGACATCATGCCACAAAATTAGGATTAAAATAAAATAAAGTATCTACAGTTTGCGTGAAATAACCCATAGACTTTTGTAAATACATCATAATGTCATAGAAGTAATACCGTAAAAGCTCGTGCCAAAATTACTCGTAATTCACCAGTAGGTTTTCATCTCGGGCCTTTAACGTTTTGAGCATATTAAAACAGGGGTCATTAAGAATTGGAAAACGGCATTTGCAGGATGCGTCAGCAAAAAGGCAATATACCCCAAAATAAACATGAGGACAAAAGAAGAAACATTAAAAATCCCTATAACTTATACCACATGTGTCTACTACAGCTATAGCGCATACTCCATAGCTATTAATAACTTCAATACCTTGACATTTAAAACCCTCGAACAGCTAATACAGATAAGTATACATGTGTTCACATGTGTATTTCCATGTATGTTTTATAAGTACTACTTCCTTGTTTGGAAAAAGGAGATAAACATTTCTCGGAAATAGCTTTGACAGATTGTCCAGTGAGCTGTGTATGTATCTCCTGTGGACAGGTACCAAATAGTAATGCACGTTATTATCTGGACCAATAGCAGTGACTAAGTTCCACTACAGGTAAGGAACTATATTATCTATAATTATAAAAACATATTTATAGTGTTGGTATTTTATTATCTGTACAAATCGGCAGTATATTAAAACTACGCTATCTGCACACTAACAAAATGGCGCATCGTGTGCTAATCGATACATGTAGATACAAGTTATGTAGTGTAACATGTATACAAACCGAAAGTAGCAGACAATAACAATAATGTTTTGTTAACCTTACTGTCAAGTTTCAAATAATGACATTATTATACTGCGTGGGATCCGATATTTATTCAGCAGCATAACTGGCTTCTTCTATAAACAAATACAAAGGCAAGTATCAATTATTTTCTTTTAGAAAAATGGCATATTATCAGCAAAGGACGAGTGGAAGGCCTTCAACCGGCACACACAGTAATGTACACATGAATTATGGACGATCTACATCAAGGTCAGTGTGAGTCAAACATCGATTAAGGTAAAATTGAAGTTAGGATCCAACACTAGCTGTAAAGTAGAAAACAAATTCCTTCCACAACAAGACACCCCCCCCNCCCCCCCGTGCGCTAACATCCGGGCCAACAAGAGTGCTTAATATCAGTTGAAATAACTTGTTTCATAATGGTTGTAAAATAAATAAAGTTTATATCTAAATTCTTATCTATTTAAATGCTCCTTTTAACATTGTTTACTACATGAACACTGCTTTAGTTATATATCCGTATGTCTGTTTTATCTACCTAGATGATTATGCTGATAAGCTTTCTCCACTTATAACATGTGATACTATATGAATATCTAGTGAACTGTAATGTTGTTAAAATATATAATGACATTTACGACACATTACAATAACAAATTCATTGTTAAACTATGAATTACACATTATGGTTGCTAAAAAGGTTGATTGCTTATCAAAACGTTGGAGTCTAATAGAACCCTCTATTAAGAATATGGGCTGTTTTTATTAGCCCAAAACCAATGCTACTTCAAACCAATGAGCTGCTTCAAGCCGAGCCTCGGAAGCAGAGCATGCTACCCTCAACGATAGGACCAAGTGACCTGAGCGAGGTCAGCGGGCTACGCAAACTCCTACATGTGGCGTCCGAACTTCAGCAGATTGATCTTGATTCTTCACTAAAGGCGTACAAAGAGTTCATGAAACAAACAAGACAGGAACATATTTCGAATTCGGAGGTAACAGTTTTAAATATTTAATAAGTATAATGATCTAAAGTTATATTTCCGCATTTTCCTTTATGCCAATCATTCAAAAATAATTCTAACATAAAAACCAAAATGAAAACCAAACACATGTCAGCATTTCTAACTCAGACTTAAATTCCACAATCAATGACCTACATGATAAATATATATTTGTACATGTAACGGCAGAAAAAGTATTTTATCATTAAGGTTGTTTACAAACAATACGCTTGCTTGATAACCATTTTACCGTGTATGAAATACTAGCCCATCATGCCTCTGTATAACAATTTGTCCGAATGTTGGTGAGTGATACGATAATCATCAACCTTGTTTGTATTGGATCCCGAAATTTCATAAATAACGATTTATCGCTGGCTCTGCCAGTTGTGATCAACACTTCTCACTATCATTCTTAGTGCCATTAATTCAGGGTTATAATTCTATAACTGGCACTGTATAATCAAGAAATAAAGTCAATGGAATGTGAATTTCAATTAGCTCAAACAATCTTTGACGGCTTACTACGATAACTAAGAGTTTAATGATACGTGATCTGTCGCTTATTTAGCTGTAACACGCCTGCTCCCCTACCAACAATATGTACATGTCGCAGTTGATTAGTTTATGCAAGGGCTTGTTCCGAACATCACAATTTGCGTCATAGATTTCATCTGCTTAAGGAAAAAGTTAAAAAGATTTCGATAGATGGTGATTGATGAAGATTACGGACAAGTTTTACGATTGATAATTAATAATAATAATAATAATTCGAGGTTCTTTTATGTCGCTTTATCACAACCTGGTTCGTAGGTCGTCTCAAAGCGATTCACAAATTGTTGTCCCTGGTTATAGGGCCTTTGCAACCAGCCAATGTCTTTCTCCCAACCTTGGGGAGCATACAGCCAGCCGGTGCTGCCATTTCGGCGCCCACAGCTAGCATTCAACAATTCTAGCACTGCCCAACCACACACTCGTTTAAAGCTGAGTAGAAACAAGCAGAGTAAAGTATCTTACTCAAAGATACAACACAGTGCCATGACGTGACTCGACCCACAACCCTTCGGTCACGAGCCCGGCGTCCTACCAATAGACTACCGTGCGATGATGAAACTTTTGGACAAGTTTTATGATTGATAAAGATTATGGACACGTTTTACGATTGACATCATGATTTAGTATGGAAATATGATTTATCCTCGTATAATATAAAAGTTGATGTCTATAATTTAGCCTATTAGTGTGCCTTGTATTTTGTGGTCACTACCCCTGTTCTGGCTATGAGGACGTTACACTACTTGGATTTGACCTGAGTTACATGGCGGCTGTTCTCGATGAAGGAAAAGAAGCTTAATTTTCTAGAACCATGTTTGATTTCCCTTGTATTTTGAAGGTTTTCTTTCTTGTAAGTTTTTCTTCTCTTCATATTTTGTCATACTTTTCCTATTTTGAGTTCGAGCTTGAGCTTCTTTAAAGTTTGCTATTTTTTCCAATCTTAACATTCAGGAGAAGATCCTGGAAACTAGAAGGGAAAAACTGGAAGAGCTTAACTCGGATGCATTTACAAAGGGACTCGAAAAATACGAAGAAAGTCTTCGAGCCCTAATACAAGAGAACGAGAAATTGCAGGAAGAGAAAAAGTCATTATATGTCAAATGTCGACAGCATCAGGACATGCTTGATGGATTGGAGAAGGAAAATAGGAAACAGAAAGAAGACCTAAAGAGTAGAGAGGACGAATTGAGGAAAGTAAAGAGCGAGAAAGACGCTGCCTTGTTTGATAAAAATGAGATGCTATCAAGGTAAGAAAAGCTATTACATCTGCTGTCTTTGCCTTTGAGATTAGTTTATTTTTAAGCTTGCGGTGATCTTTGTTCGATTATCAAATAAAACTATCATCTTTCAGTAGATGTTACAACTGCGTGTATACTGAAATTCTCTGGAAACAATACTGTATTGCATATCTGCATACAGATTTAAACATGTATAGGAATGGATTTTACTTTCTGTCTTGATAATGGATATCACATGAGTACAATCTCCGATGTCAATTAAAGTAATAATGAGTAGTTATTGTCTGTAACACAATTTAATTACTCCTGACCTAAGGTGGAACACAGACAATTTAATTTTGAGACTTATAAGTACGGCAACAACGTCGGATAGTTTTCTTTTTCTTTTTCCTTTTAAGCGGGATACTTTTTAAACACGGAGGGCTTCTGACATCCGTTAGATTTTGTTTCGAATCAGCCTTAATGCATCATTTTCATATTTGTGTTTATTTTCGTATTTGAGAGATAAGTTGAAATATTTTACATTTGGTGTGACAAAGCCTTACTGTATCACTACTAATTAAAAGTACTGCCTTTAGCAATTTCATGTTATGAGACTATAACTGAAGTTGGTCTTTGCAGGGTGTAAGAATAAAGGCCGAAATAAAATGATCGGTTAAATGTTTTACGACACTTGAATAATTCCTTACAAACGTTATTTGTTTATATTTAGCTAATTGGAAATATTCTATATCTAAAAGAAAAAAAGGAATTAATAACGAAAGTTGTGTTTTTCGTCGTTTCAATTTTGTCTGTGAAATAGCGCGTGCTGTCAGCTGTTATTTTTGCGGCGTTCTGAAAATGTGAATGCTTGGAAAGACACATACCTTTTTTGCGTTTTCTCATAGCACAATCAAACTTATCGTTATGCACTAGCGCGCACCATTCAGTTTGTCTGTGACACATAGGGTAGTTATACCATTAGGTTTGCTACATCTATGCAGTGTATTGCTTCAATAATCAACGGAAATATAAAGTAATGAAAAATCGATCTGAAAATCTTCGTTTTTCAAAAGCCAAACGATATCTAATGCACTATACATTTTTTGATTGCTTAAATATTTTATCCATTAAGGACTTGGTAGTGAAACACTATTCAAAATTATAAATCTACATGTCAAACTTGTTCCAAATTATATGTGAAGATGTGGCAAAAGGGTAAAGTGTCTTTACAAATATGCATTTTTTGGCTCCTGCAGATCAGTTATTATTAGATTAATGTTTCATGTAAACCTGTCAGAATTATACCAGCTATAAGGTTACGTTAAACCATTAAGAGAAGCAACTATCTTGTACAGCAATCAGTCCTTAGTAATACGCAGTTAGGTATATTTTGGCAAAATATCCATGTTTTGAAGTTTGTTTGTATTAAGTTTAATTTAAAACTGACAAGTAAAATATGGACATTTATTTATGTATGTATTCATTTTTTCTTTCGTTTTTATCTTGTAAGGTTTGGTTTTTTTTTAATAAAATATTCTGCTGCTGAAGTGTTTAAAATACTGGAAATATATGTGTTTCTGTATGAACACATCGAGCAATGACCAGGAAGTGCTAGTTTATAACCAATCGAGTAGGGACCGGATGTAAGGTTCGGAGCGTTTGTGTATATATACCTAATCGAGTTCTTTAAGGGCGGTCGGGTTGCGCAGTGGATATCACATTCGCCCTTTATCAAGGCGGCCGGGGTTCGATTCCCCGATCGAACGTGAAAAGGTATGGGGGCACCTATACCCGACCACGTGGGTTTTCTCCGGGTAATCCGGTGTCCTCCCACATTTAGACCCCCCGCGCGCTAACTTTCGGACCAACAACAGAGATTAATATAAGTTTGATAAAACTTGTTTCATAATTGTTGTAAAATTAAAAAAAAAACAATAATAGAGTTCGGACTTAGAGACGTATATATAAATGTAACAATGAGACCTTTGTATGTTACCAACATTTCGGGTACATGGATATATTAAAATTAAGGAGGCACGTGGTTATATACTAGGAACGTTTATATAATGTAAATATAATGTAAAGATGATTTTTTTTCTTAACATTGATGATGGTATTTAACACATTTCTTTCAAAAACATTCCATTGTGTTGCATTCGACTAATTCCGTCAGAATTTGAATCTGACGTCACGTCATGATTGGTCCTCCATTACTTAAACAGATTGACGGAAAATCCCGAACAGTTTCCGAATGGAAAATATTCACCTGTAATATTAGTTTGTGATGTTAAAAATCATGGAGTATTCTTTATATATAAACAGGTTGAGTAAAGAGTTGGGGACGAAGCTGAGTGACAACAACCCGACTATCGCAGACCTCAGTGACCCCAACAGAGCCATGAAACTGGGAGAGAAGTATTCCGAGTTGTATGATAATGATTGGACGGACGCCCTGGATATACTGTGTGGAACTGGGTTTGATGAAGAAGCTGGCATCAAAGTTTTGCTTGAAGTTCTTAAGGTATAAATATATACCCATAAGCATTTAAGGTTAATTTGGCAAGCGCGTATGCTACTAAGTTATTCAACATAAGGAACATCAATGCAATTTGCATTACTTTCAACACAACCTTATAAAAAGCTAAAGCAATATACATTCCGTGTAGTCAATTCTGAAAAAAATGCGTTCTTTCAAGAAGCGAAATTATCGAATGTTACGTGTTTGATTATTCGAGAGTAGTATTTCAAACTTTCTTGTTAAAAAGGTGACCGTTTCTTCGTAATCTGCAGCATACCCAGGAAATTGAAAAACGGATTACATTTGTGTAAAGGTATTCCTATCTACAGAAGGCTACCACTTTGTTTAAATTACAATATACAAATCGTTGTGGGCTCCCTCAAATTCATATTTGATTTACAAAATATTACCAATCAAATTTCAGTGGCAGGAAAATGTGTATATGAATAAGAAATATTTGATTGTACTTTTTTTTTGAAGACAAGTATGATTTATTTCTTTATACCGTAACAAATTTAAGGTATATTCCCGATAATGATTGGTATTTCTTTTAATTGAATATGACCCAGTCATTTTGCATTTTGGTTCACATGAAATCCTAATCTTGATTAGTTATATGTCGTGTCAAAACCTGAACTATTGTTTTGTTTGGTAACAGAGCGAGTCTTTTTCAGATAAGATAATACAAAGTATACCCGAGTCAACTAAATTGACACTCTCAAGTGGCGTGGCTTGTTAAGTCGGTTGAGTTGGACTTAAACGTTTCAAGGGCCTGAACATTGTTAGCACTTAATTTTGGGTTTTACAAATGTTTTGATTCTTCCCAGATATCGATAAAAAGTCCAATATTTCTCTGCTAGTAGGAAAAAAAACACCTGTTTGCTGAAAGACAGGGGGATAGTCAAATTTGACATTTATTTTACAGAAGTCTCACCAACTTTGTGTAGAGCTATCAGAGAAGCAGATGGTATCACTACAGATGACTTTGGTAAACCCAGCCCTTCCAGTAAGTGGATATTTTCTAGTTTGATATAACTCATATCACAAGTCATGTCTCCGTCGCGGATGGTATTTTTTTTATAATTTGAAAAATAATTTATACAAAGCAACGTTAAGTTTGCCATGTTGGCTAGATTAAATTTACTTTCCAATTTTAAACAACTATTTCAATCACTTGACAACGCATGATAAATGAATGTGGAATGAACTACATGTACCATATGTTGTGATTGGTGTTTTATGTTTATCAAACTCCCTGAAGATTATTTCCTTTATACCGACAATGAATAGATTTGTGCTAGATAAATATTTTAATCAACAGTCGTTTGTCGTGAAACCTCTATTTCTCTTTCGCGAATAAAAACTTCCGATAATTGTTCCAACCATTAGAGAAAAGGTCAATTTAAAGGACAAACTGTAGATTTTGTGAATTGGACGTAGGCTAAATATTGTTATTGAGATTTTATAATCTGATAAGTTGGTGTTCAAAGTTTTTACTAAAAGAAACGTATAGGAAGGAAAATGGCACACATTAATAAGCAATCTTCATGAAAATAGAATTCCTTCTCTAAAATGTTTACTAATCAAACTATTTACTTAAAAATACATGTAAATGTCTTATAAGGCGATTGAATGTACCTATTTTACATAATGCACTAAGGGAGTGCCAAAACCAGCATGGGGAGATACGATCAACCCAATGATTGCCAAATCAACATTCAAACATCTTAAAGAGTGTCGGAAGGAGATGTCGACAAAGGCCGTGGAAAACATCTTAAAGGTAATTAGCACCATTTGTGTGTAGACATATGAGCTTTTCGCAAGGTACCAAAATATAAAAAACGGTATTCTATTTGAGTTTTGTATGGTAATGGAGCCTTTCTATAAATAAGAAGAACTGATATTTGTAGTTTACTATGTATTTCCTATTCATTTAACTAAACAGACGGAGATTACTTTCTGCCACCTTAATATTGTTTAACTAAGATTTCAACGTTACAATTTTTTATCTTGTAAACTGTGAAAGCTATTGCTATTGTCATCAAAGTATTTTAAATACATTATATCAGAAGCAATATTAATCGTAAGTGGTATAATTCAAGTCATCATATGAATATGTTAGCATCCGATCATAGAGAAGAATTATATTTAAATAGGTAGGCAAATACACTTTTCGTTTGTCATTGCTGGGTAATTACAATGTTCTCATTCAATCAATTGTGATCCTTCTGTGTAAACATAATATACATGTATAAAAACTATGTTTACGGTCACGGTCAAACCAAACGTTATTGCATTGATCCAATTGCATACGTATGTTACCTAGGGGACACGTAATGATTCATTAAATCAAATGATCTATTCAACACCCACCAACCCCATCCCCCTCGGTTTGCGTTATTATGATACAACATTGTCCTATTAACTTATACTTCATACTTCAAATGGATTACAGTTGTACGAGGACAATGTCAGTACATAAAAACATAGATCATACCTCTACCTGAAGTTTTCGGATGTGTAATTTGGTACTTGGCAAATGTATTCGTCTGATTTACAGGAATATGGTACAAAACAGATTGTGGACAGGGCAGAGAGGATACCCGACTTTTTCAAGAAGTGTCTAGAGATATGCTGGCTGATGTGCGTTCAGGACCCGCCCGTGGTTATCGGTGGGGAGGCGACCGTTGGCGTTTCTTTCGATACCAACATGTACAAGCCGTACACCAACAGTGGGACAGTTGTATCATACAACGTTTGGCCGCCCTTACTACTCCACGAGAATGGACCAATTCTTACGAAAGGAATCGTTCAACCAATAAAAGAAGAGAAAAAGAGAGAAAAAATGGCTGAGAGAGGGAAAACTACAGCAGGTATGCATAGCCGAGGCTTAAGCAAAACCTTGGGCCCCTCTTCCGGCAAGAATATGATGACCACCCTCAGAACACATCCTTTCGGAGACCCGACTAAGGAGGAAACATCGCCTCCGATAGACGATGGATGGAAAAAAAATCCTCAGTATCATGTAACAGCCCAATACTATGATAACCAGGTATGTGAAGACAGGAAAGTACCTCAATATCAAATGAGTGCATACACCCAGCAGACTACGTCTGCATCAGATTCGAATCCAGCATATTCCAGACACGTGTACGTGCAGCAGCCTGCCCTTCCCCCTAAAAGACCGTTGTATCCGGTAACACGACACCACGGAAGAGATTATGTATTGTACGGACAAAATCGTTACGAACTAGGCGAATTCAAAAGGCTTTTTAATATAACAAGCAATGAACAATTTTATCTTACTGAATAATATTTGTATATATTGAAAAACAGCTGATTTTGGATGTATATTTCTGTTATATCTAACCACGGCGAAACAGGTAACTTTTTATTTATTTAGGCCTAATGGTTGTGTTTTGCATAGTTGACAAAGTTGATAACTATGCATATACATGTAGTACATGTAGTACATGTAGTACTGTCACTCTGACAAAGTAACGTCTTCACTTCAAATCAGATAACAGTGAAAAATCATAAACTCTCATTTAAACAATTATGTGTCATACAATGTAGTATGAATTTAAGTCTTTTAATATCCAAATTCCTGTTACTGTCAGTGGTTTTGCAATACCTATATATATTTTTCGTTATGCAATTCAGAAGAAGTGTACTACATTCATAGACATTGCAAAATTTTACGACACTTGATGTATGATAAATCATGTTCATACAGCAAAATGATACTGCAGCGGGTTTTTAAAGAAAGTGAAAATAAAATATTCATAAAAGAAAAATATATCAAATTTTTTTATTTCATAGAAAACATTTTGTTTCGTTGTAAAGAACCATCTTCAAAATACATAAATGATACAATATCATTGAAGCAGGAATCAATTTTAGAATAACCACTATATGCTATGGATATAGGCCGACAACTGTCAATCTCCCACCATTTGGACAGTTTGAGGGTTATATCTAACTTAAAACATAGTCCCATCTGAGTGCCTCTCATGTTGATTCAGGTAACACATTTTCTGTTGGTGTTAACTGACTCATTCAACGTATTGGACAAATTAGGAACGAATCTATTGCTACACTCATGCAACCTTAATGCATGATGTTGGTGTCTGTGGAATGCACATGTGTTCATTAAGCACAAGGTCTTCTTACACTGAGGAGGTAATTTTAATAACTCATACAAACTTTCTGTACGTTTAGGAAACATGATTTCATTGATTAAGCCTTGAGTGAAATTTTGGAAATAAAACAGAGGAAAATAAGAGGCCAGATTTTACTGTTCAAAGCGACATCATCCCAGACCTGTCTGAAAAAGTAAATATTGAAAATAAGTTAAATAACACAAGAAGTAGACAGGTAGCTGTTAAATTTTGAATGTGTTGATTTTCACGGGTATATACACCGCTAGTACAGTACTTAAGCTGATGACTTCTGAATGTGTTGAATTCCACAGATATATACACCACCGGTACAGTACTTAAGCTGATGAATTCTGAATGTGTTGAATTCCACAGATATATACACCGCTGGTGCAGTACTTAAGCTGATGAATTCTGAATGTGTTGAATTCCACAGATATATACACCGCTGGTACAGTACTTAAGCTGATGACTTCTGAATGTGTTGAATTACACAGATATATACACCGCTAGTACAGTACTTAGCTGATGACTTCTGAATGTGTTGAATTCCACAGATATATACACCGCTAGTACAGTACTTAAGCTGATGACTTATGAATGTGTTGAATTCCACAGATATATACACCACCGGTAATATAGCTGTTGAATTTGCTGTCTTCTATATATAGTACATCACTGACATCTGTGTGTTGTGTTGATATTTTATTAAAAATATCCATGTGTTTGTTATTATTGTTTTACCTACATGTATATAGCTGAAGTACTCCAGTTTGGCTCCGCCAAAATGTTCTCTAGAATGTGATATCACAGCTGTCCAATAAGTGAAGACAATAGGGTAGCTTCAGCAGCTTATTGGAGGATGAATAATAACTGGTTAAAACTGTGAACAGCATAAAACAGTTTGTATCACGTATGTAATATCACTTAATGATATAAATAGACCGTGGGGTGAGGTATTGACACGGTGGTTAAAGCCAAATGATGAAATTTTCGAATAAAATGCCGCGGTTTACCGAAGACTTTCTTCAATATTACATCCTTAAATCTTGAATAATCTTATCTATACATCCTTCCGAAGGAAATTTCTCCATCTTGTCATTTGTGACGTCTCTGTTGCTCAATTACTATTTATGAAGAACAGGGTTTCCTGTACACATAGACAAAGCGATGACCTTCTCTGGAAGTCATACCATATATTGTTTTAATATCAAAGTTTTACTTTCTACACAAACAATGTACGTATTAAAGGTGTCGCAACGTTTTAAGACCGACTTGTCCCTTTGTCAAGCTATGACTGAGGGACCAGTCGGTCCTGACATTTTGCGACACGTTTCTAAACTGATGAATCTTTTGGAGATATCTTTTGTTTTTATTTGTCTGCGCTATTAGTCCCGAATAAAATATAAGCTTATTTTTAAGGTACCTGTAACAGTAGAAGTTGTTGTCTAAGCATTCAGCCGAGAGCGCTTACATGGGATATCCTTGTGAATAACCTAACTCATTAAACTGTATATATGTATTGTGTTTAAAGGACATACTTGAGTGTTTTGTGTTAATCTCTATATACTTGATAACTAAATAATTATGTGTCCATTCAATTTTATTTAAGTCAATGCATAGATGTTTCCAAAAATAGTAAAGCATCTATATGTAAGTCATATTGTTTAGTTGTTACATCATGTTAATGTTTAGAAGCTGTCGTATAACTCTTATGAGATAATGCAAGATGGCGGTGAGATACATGTATAAAACGTAAATAGAAGCATGTCAAACTGTCATAATCTGCAATGAACTGTTGCGGTTTCTGAGATACAGACCAATGACGTGCTATTTTTATACTCTTATTAACCCTAACTCTAATAATAACTATACTTGTAGCAATCTACTATTATTGTTTTCATAGCAAATATATTACCACAATGTATCCATGAATGTACCAAGAATTAGTGAAATTATTTCTTATACTGTTCTATTGTATGCATATTTTACATTGTAATTATTGTGTGGTATGTTAATTCATTACATGATCAATCTGAATAAAGACCTTTTGTATAATATACTCAGCAATGCGTCTTATATAAAAGATAATAAGACTTACAGTATAACAACTATTAAGTCGATATCTTTTTCTGTTTCCGTCTCGTCCAGACTAGTTTGTCAAAGGGGCAAATAACGCCCTTAATATCAATTAGCAACTGAACATGTATACCTCTTAACGACATTTGAAGCCGTTCGTATCACAAAATATAATAAATAAATCTAATGAGATATTTGTGTTCACGCTTTGATTTGGATAAAAAAAAAGGTTTAATTAGAGTATGCACGTAGGAGGGTACCAAAGGGAGATTTTCAAACTTAATAAAGTACGATATCACTGATCAGTAGTTTTAAACGGAAAACATTTTACTCATTTAGATGTTGTTAGGAAGATGCCATTTATTCAGAATAAATGCCGGTACTTACATTCCAAAGAAATGAGCTGAATAAAGGGAGCGTACAGCTGCCGCTAAAATGTATGGTTGTACAGTTTAGGTTTTCTTCTAAAGAGATTAAGAACACCAGAAAACATTGTCTCTTATCAATTTCTAGACACGAATTTTACATAAGGAGTATTCCAAATCTGTTCTCATGAAGAATTTTGTGATTTCCTTCATTAAATTGTTTCTTTAAGCTGTACATTCAGCATAGCAAGTTTGATGACTTATCATGCTTAACACACTTAACGTCACGCTACCACAATTGGTACATCCTATTTTGGTACAAGGTCAGAAAATGGTTCGAATAGTACTTTCAAAATAAATTTGAGCATTTGCCTCTGGCAGTATAACAAAAGAAATATTTATCAGAATTAATGTTGAATGGGTTAATTATAAACATGTTTAAATGTCGATTTCTGTTTTTTTATAACCGGATAATATGAAAGTGTTTTATGCAATTGAAGTTCAGTATGGTATTTATAAAAGCAATATATTTTGCTGCAATCGGCACATCAACTAATAGAAATAAAAACAAGTTTCATAGCCTGGGATATGGTGTACCAATTTCGGTACTTAATCATGACCGGAAAACGAACGAAATGTCACTACGAGTTTAGCGTTCTATTTTCAGAAACAAATTACCTAGATTTTTTTTCTTTCTCAAAATGAACCACCATGGGTAGTCTTTGTCAAGAATCGAAAACATTCCAGATACAAGATCTGAACTTTTAAATATCACTGAAAAACTGTCAAAATTGATCCATTTGTGGTAGCGTGACGTTACAGTAAATAAGTGTTGTATTGATTTGGTATTTGATAGTGATTAAGATGTTGTCGTCGATCTCCCTATTGCTCACTTTTAGGACGTGCCTTTACTTTGATTTGACCTATATTTACGTTGCAAGATACCATCGTTGAAACAGAAAACCTTTGCACAGGTCATTATGTAAATACTTCCTTCTGCATATCTTGCTTATCGAGGCAGCGCTAGGCAATACTTTTGGTTCCAACATGTAAAAGACTTACATCAGTACAAATGTACATCAATCCCGGGAAGTTTATTTTACAACGTATGACTACCCTTAATTCTTAATTAACAATGGAGCAGGTTTTGTAAAACAGGTCTTTCAACTAGCAAAAGCGAACAAAAAGAAAGACTTTCCTAGGAAATATATACACCAAATTCCAAGAGACAACACTTTAGTAAGACGCTCCATACCTCTTTACAAAGAGAGTTGACTTATTCTTCTGGATGTGAGAGAGTTTGGTATAGTTCCTACAAAATGCGCAGACAACCAGAACCTGTGATATAGGAATTATCACCACCATCAGCAGACGCCTGGTAAGAGAACGACCTTTCGATAGTCCGGTAATCCAACCACAGACACCAAGAACAAATACCTTTACCATCAAATAACACCGCGGGTGACAATCCCCCCTCCCGGCATAAACTACGAACATTCTGCCTTAATTCATAATTAAGTACTTGAACAATAAGCTAGCTTGAATCCAGTAAAAATTACATTCTTCAAGGGGAAATGGTTGCACAGCTAATGACCAAAATGTTCAGTTTTACCTGCTACAATTTCCAAGGCATTCTTCTAATATAATTTGTTCCGATTGTGTTTTCTTGAACATGACCAGGACTTGGTCGACGCCGACGACCAGTTAGTTCAATTGTTGGAGTCTCCTTCTGGAATTTGAAGGGTCCCGGGTTCGAATCCCGGTCTTGCCGTGGATTTCTTGCTCTCTCTTCTGTTGTACATACATATGAATTCAAAGTAAAGTCCTGCTATGCTATTTGGTGCTACATTAAAATTAAAATTCCGAGATATGCTTTGGGTACCTTACTTATTTTTGCAAGTTTCTTATTATATAAAAAAAAGTCATTAAAAGAAGGACGAACAGATATTTTGGTTGATTCTGCGCAGTTAAACTAATAATAATACACCTATATATATATATTTATGCCCTGTACTACTGGATAGTTTTTTACCCCTCAAAGTTTTATATTTAATGTTTGAAATTTTTAAATCATCTTGTGTAATTGTTTTGCGAAAATCGGGATTCCACTTGTGAAATATTCAATATATTATTTAAACACCTCTGTGATCGTATATTACCTATATTACGTAGCAATACTTCCTTTTTTCTATTCTACAGTTTTTTGCTGGTAGGAATACTTCTGTGATCTGACTTCTGTAATCTTTTAAGGGGATACGCGTAGGAATACATGCTACCACGTGATCTTATTATTGTTATATTGCGTAGGAATAACTCTTTGATCTAATAATAATTATATCGTGTAGGAACACTTATTCAAAATGAATCCAGTAGATATACTTCTCTGATTATATTATAGATATATCGAATAGTTATATAAGAATAAATCTATGATTTTATAATAATCATTGCATAAGCCAATAACTATATTACATTTAGGTAATAGCGAGACATCCTTGTGTTGATATAACTATGTTAGGTAATAGTGAGACATCCTTGTGTTGATATAACTATGGTAGGTAATAGCGAGACAGACTTGTGTTGATATAACTATTTTAGGTAATAGCGAGACATCCTTGTGTTAATATAACTATGTTAGGTAATAGCGAGACAGACTTATGTTGATATAACTATGTTCGGTAATAGAGAGACTGCCTTGTGTTGATATAACTATATTAGGGAATAGCGAGACAGACTTGTGTTGATATATCTATGTTAGGTAATAGCGAGACATCCTTGTGTTAATATAACTATGTTAGGTAATAGCGAGACAGACTTATGTTGATATAACTATGTTCGGTAATAGAGAGACAGCCTTGTGTTGACATAACTATATTAGGTAATAGCGAGACAGACTTGTGTTGATATATCTATGTTAGGTAATAGCGAGACATCCTTGTGATGATATAACTAAGTTGAAATAGAGAGACATCCCTGTGTTGATATAACTATATTAGGTAAGAGCGAGACATCCTTGTGATGATATAACTAAGTTGAAATAGAGAGACATCCTTGTCTTGATATAACTATATTAGGTAATAGTGAGACATCCTTGTATTGATATAACTATATTAGGTAATAGTGAGACATCCTTGTGTTGATATAACTACATTAGGTAATAGCGAGACAGACTTGTGTTGATATAACTATATTAGGGAATAGCGAGACAGACTTGTGTTGATATAACTATTTTAGGTAATAGCGAGACATCCTTGTGATGATATAACTATGTTAGGTAATAGAGAGACATCCTGGTGCTGATATAACTATATTAGGTAATAGCAAGACATCCTGGTGTTGATATAACTATATTAGGTAAGAGCGAGACATCCTTGTGATGATATAACTAAGTTGAAATAGAGAGACATCCTTGTCTTGATATAACTATATTAGGTAATAGTGAGACATCCTTGTATTGATATAACTATATTAGGTAATAGAGAGACATCCTGGTGCTGATATAACTATATTAGGTAATAGCGGGACATCCTTGTGTTGATATAACTATATTAGGGAATAGCGAGACAGACTTGTGTTGATATTACTATGTTCGGTAATAGAGAGACAGCCTTGTGTTGACATAACTATATTAGGTAATAGCGAGACATCCTTGTGTTGATATAACTATGGTAGGTAATAGCGAGACAGACTTGTGTTGATATAACTATATTAGGGAATAGCGAGACAGACTTGTGTTGATATAACTATATTAGGGAATAGCGAGACAGACTTGTGTTGATATAACTATTTTAGGTAATAGCGAGACATCCTTGTGATGATATAACTATGTTAGGTAATAGAGAGACATCCTGGTGCTGATATAACTATATTAGGTAATAGCGAGAAATCCTTGTGTTGATATAACTATGTTAGTTAATAGCGAGACATCCTGGTGTTGATATGACTATATTAGGTAATAGCGAGACATCCTGGTGTTGATATAACTACATTAGGTAATAGCGAGACAGACTTGTGTTGATATAACTATTTTAGGTAATAGCGAGACATCCTTGTGATGATATAACTATATTAGGAAATAGCGAGACATCCTTGTGTTGATTTAACTATGTTAGGTAATAGCGAGACATCCTTGTGTTGATTTAACTATGTTAGGTAATAGCGAGACATCCTAATGTTGATATAACTATGTTAGGTAATAGTGAGACATCCTTGTGTTGATATAACTATGGTAGGTAATAGCGAGACAGACTTGTGTTGATATAACTATATTAGGGAATAGCGAGACATCCTTGTGTTGATTTAACTATGTTAGGTAATAGCGAGACAGACTTGTGTTGATATAACTATGTTCGGTAATAGAGAGACTGCCTTGTGTTGATATAACTATATTAGGGAATAGCGAGACAGACTTGTGTTGATATAACTATATTAGGGAATAGCGAGACAGACTTGTGTTGATATAACTATTTTAGGTAATAGCGAGACATCCTTGTGTTGATTTAACTATGTTAGGTAATAGCGAGACATCCATAACTATGTTAGGTAATAGCGAGACATCCATAACTATGTTAGGTAATAGCGAGACAGACTTGTGTTGATATAACTATGTTCGGTAATAGAGAGACAGCCTTGTGTTGATATAACTATATTAGGTAATAGCGAGACAGACTTGTGTTGATATAACTATGTTAGGTAATAGAGAGACAGCCTTGTGTTGATATAACTATGTTAGGTAATAGCGAGACATCCTTGTGTTGATATAACTATGTTAGGTAATAGCGAGACATCCTTGTGTTGATATAACTATGTTAGGTAATAGCGAGACATCCTTGTGTTGATATAACTATGTTAGGTAATAGCGAGACATCCTTGTGTTGATATAACTATGTTAGGTAATAGCGAGACATCCTTGTGTTGATATAACTATGTTAGGTAATAGCGAGACATCCTTGTGTTGATATAACTATGTTAGGTAATAGCGAGACATCCTTGTGTTGATATAACTATGTTAGGTAATAGCGAGACATCCTTGTGTTGATATAACTATGTTAGGTAATAGCGAGACATCCTTGTGTTGATATAACTATGTTAGGTAATAGCGAGACATCCTTGTGTTGATATAACTATGTTAGGTAATAGCGAGACATCCTTGTGTTGATATAACTATGTTAGGTAATAGCGAGACATCCTTGTGTTGATATAACTATGTTAGGTAATAGCGAGACATCCTTGTGTTGATATAACTATGTTAGGTAATAGCGAGACATCCTTGTGTTGATATAACTATGTTAGGTAATAGCGAGACATCCTTGTGTTGATATAACTATGTTAGGTAATAGCGAGACATCCTTGTGTTGATATAACTATGTTAGGTAATAGCGAGACATCCTTGTGTTGATATAACTATGTTAGGTAATAGCGAGACATCCTTGTGTTGATATAACTATGTTAGGTAATAGCGAGACATCCTTGTGTTGATATAACTATGTTAGGTAATAGCGAGACATCCTTGTGTTGATATAACTATGTTAGGTAATAGCGAGACATCCTTGTGTTGATATAACTATGTTAGGTAATAGCGAGACATCCTTGTGTTGATATAACTATGTTAGGTAATAGCGAGACATCCTTGTGTTGATATAACTATGTTAGGTAATAGCGAGACATCCTTGTGTTGATATAACTATGTTAGGTAATAGCGAGACATCCTTGTGTTGATATAACTATGTTAGGTAATAGCGAGACATCCTTGTGTTGATATAACTATGTTAGGTAATAGCGAGACATCCTTGTGTTGATATAACTATGTTAGGTAATAGCGAGACATCCTTGTGTTGATATAACTATGTTAGGTAATAGCGAGACATCCTTGTGTTGATATAACTATGTTAGGTAATAGCGAGACATCCTTGTGTTGATATAACTATGTTAGGTAATAGCGAGACATCCTTGTGTTGATATAACTATGTTAGGTAATAGCGAGACATCCTTGTGTTGATATAACTATGTTAGGTAATAGCGAGACATCCTTGTGTTGATATAACTATGTTAGGTAATAGCGAGACATCCTTGTGTTGATATAACTATGTTAGGTAATAGCGAGACATCCTTGTGTTGATATAACTATGTTAGGTAATAGCGAGACATCCTTGTGTTGATATAACTATGTTAGGTAATAGCGAGACATCCTTGTGTTGATATAACTATGTTAGGTAATAGCGAGACATCCTTGTGTTGATATAACTATGTTAGGTAATAGCGAGACATCCTTGTGTTGATATAACTATGTTAGGTAATAGCGAGACATCCTTGTGTTGATATAACTATGTTAGGTAATAGCGAGACATCCTTGTGTTGATATAACTATGTTAGGTAATAGCGAGACATCCTTGTGTTGATATAACTATGTTAGGTAATAGCGAGACATCCTTGTGATGATATAACTATGTTAGGTAATAGCGAGACATCCTTGTGTTGATATAACTATGTTAGGTAATAGCGAGACATCCTTGTGTTGATATAACTATGTTAGGTAATAGCGAGACATCCTTGTGTTGATATAACTATGTTAGGTAATAGCGAGACATCCTTGTGTTGATATAACTATGTTAGGTAATAGCGAGACATCCTTGTGTTGATATAACTATGTTAGGTAATAGCGAGACATCCTTGTGTTGATATAACTATGTTAGGTAATAGCGAGACATCCTTGTGTTGATATAACTATGTTAGGTAATAGCGAGACATCCTTGTGTTGATATAACTATGTTAGGTAATAGCGAGACATCCTTGTGTTGATATAACTATGTTAGGTAATAGCGAGACATCCTTGTGTTGATATAACTATGTTAGGTAATAGCGAGACATCCTTGTGTTGATATAACTATGTTAGGTAATAGCGAGACATCCTTGTGTTGATATAACTATATTAGGTACTAGCGAGACATCCTTGTGTTGATATAACTATGCTAGGTAATAGCGAGACATCCTTGTGTTGTATCATAACACGGGTGTGTAACAGATTGAAATTCTTTTTTTGATTCGAAGATAAAATTTTATTCTGCATTTAATTTCATAATACAACATTCTTAAACATTGAACATTCCATTTACCATTTAATCTTATGATCTCCGGGAATCAATACCATATTATCATCAGTTTTACTGTTAAGAAATAATTGCGGAACACTACTTTAGCAGATCCTATTCTAGCAGAACAAATATTAAGCTATTGCAAACTTAACAATATTGTTGTATTGCAATTGGTGGTTTACATCCTCTATCGAAATTAATGTGAGTTTGCTCATTTTTTAAGGTTACCTTTCTGTAGGATGTTCTTTATAACTATTAATGTATTCCTTTACGCTAGTCATTAAAACGAATATTACATAATGGTAATTTGCGTTATTAAGCATTCGTGTATGAATTTCGGACGTCAGACCCCAACATGTTATTGGCAATACTCATTTTAGGTCGAGGTTTGTTCGCGATCACTTGATATCAAAAGGTGTTTTCTTCATGATAGATTTCAAATCGTTTGAATTTTATTGTACTCCTTGATAGATATTTTGATCATCACAACATCTGCTACAAATTTGTACAATAAATACTTCAAGCATACTTCTAGATAATTTAACTATTTTATATAAGATTGATCAAGCTTAAGTATTGGAAGTAACTGATTTTGATTAGTTCAAAAACAGGAGTGGTGTTTTTTTATAAACATATTTGATAAACACTGTAGTACTATGTATACTGCAGTAAAAGGAAAGTCTCTCAGTCGAATCAATCACCGAGAACAGTTCCCTTAGCATAAAATAATGACAGCTGACAATTCCCTTTTTCATCAACATTTCAAACGATTAAATACGTTTCCCGTAGTTGTTTACAAAACATAGACATAATAAACTGATGTTATATTCCATGGGCACATAATCGAACCCTGGACAACATTTGTGTTGGCCTTACCACTATGAAGTAGAAAAACGCTTTTGATATTTCGTTTAAATTACACAAATTGTTTAATCTAGCACTCACACACATTACTAAGACACTATTTGCGATATAACTGCATTAAGATCACGTGAATCTAAACAAACATTCTTGATTATGAAAAAAGAATTATATTTTAAAAATATATGAAACCTGCTCCACTGTTTTTTTATTTACATAATTTTAATAAAAATTAATATATAAAGACGCTTTGATATCTAATTATATTAAGGGGGTGTAACTTCGAAAAATAAAATAACGGATGATCCGGTGGACAGCGCATTCGCCTTCCAACAATCGGTCGGGGTTCGAATGCCCGATCAGACTTGAAAAGTAAGGGTTGCCTGCCTTACTTTGTGGGTTTCTCCAAGTACTCTTGTTTCCTCCCCTGTGTGCTACCATCCGGACCAACAAGTTTTGCTACATTAAGTTGAGAAACAATTTTTCATATTCATAGTAGAAGAAATAAAGAGTTTGTTTATTACTTCAAAAAAGATGTTTAAAGTGACTGTTTGGAAACATACGTCGTGACAATTAGAGGTGTTAGGATGTACACGTGTCTCCTGTGGTTTCTACTTGTTTCAGAATCAGATAATGTATAATGTACTCCTGTAAACATGGATCCAATAGTGGTTTAGATGTCCTCAAAATACGTGCATTTAAGTATCACTTTCTGACGCATTAAGAAAATGATCCTTATCAAACGCGATTGCTAAGAAGATATAGCGATGTCTATTGTAATATATACATGCTCATACACAAAGATAAATAGTCATAACACCAGCATATTCCAGCTGTTAAACAACAGCAATAACTCAGGAAACATCAAAACGAAAATAAAGAACACTTGATGTCTAACAACATAGGCCAATATATTCCTTCTAGTGGTGAAAGGTAGCGTGAAAATTATCTGTAGGTTACCGACCATGATCTGCTTAGAAAGGATTTCGTTTGTCTTGGCGACAAATATTCTCTAATAAACTATATACACGCTTCTACTTTTGTACAATATAAAATAGTGAAAGTTATTCCATTTCAAATTATACATATTAATACATAGAGAGACATTATTGCAGTTCTGCCATTACGTGACTTAAAACCCTTCACGTAATTAATAACGAATTATTATAGTTATCATAATTTTTTACATTTTATTGCAATATAGTTATTGAATTTATAAAATATCTTCAATAAACATTAAATATTTTTTAAGACATTTTTTTACTTAACAATTGCAAAACAGAAATTTTGACTGTTTGGTTTAGGAAACTACGCATTTCCAAAGATATATAATCTAGATTGTTTATGTGTTATATACGTATATTTACCATCGAATGGCATTGCCGATATATAGCCCTACCAAATTCATATAGGCTATGAATATATTTACAAATCAGTGAGTAATACGCCACGGTAGAAAACTATAAGCTTCAGTCGTTAAAAGCTCAAAACTTTTATCTCTGCTCTATTGATAAATAAAAAATAGCTGCAGCTAGAAAACAATAACGTTATCATATCATAATGGTGAAGAAGAGAAGACATGTTTTGAGTGCTGCCGTATTCTGGAGACAATTGTCACTCTGGTCTGATCAAAGTCTTAAACAACCATTACTCTAGCCTTTGTTATAACTCTTTTGAGCCATACATGTATGTTTTTTTGCATATCAAAGTTATAGGTACAACAGAATCGAGGTTCGTTGACATAATTCATCACTGTGTCTTGTTTTGAAAGCTTAAAAGCTTACTTTTCGTTTGTCTTCTTTGACAATTCTCCTACGCAATCATACGTTATATCTCTGACAGGTTACTACAAAGCTTGAAATGATTATATTTGCGGAGAGTAGTGAACCCGGTTTTTTTTCGAAACGAATGCTGTCATTGTTATTATTAAAACACGATAATAATTTCTAGCCATTTGGTTATTAAGAACATTCGTCTATTACGTCGATCGGCCTTTTTCTTCACTCCATGATATCGTTCATGATGTTTAGATAGTAGATCCAGTAGACAAGGTTGAAGATACCAAATGACAATGGGAACATTATACGGGACGCAACGTCCAGGTAAAACGCATACACGACCCCGGTCTTCTTTGGAGATGTTTTCTTGGTATCGTCGTCCTCAATAGTTAAGTGTTGACATTTGGGGACTTGTACGGAACCGTCAACACCAACCACCGTCTGCAATATAAAACAACAACTATGAAAAATACTTTGACATAATATACAATGTATTAATGTGTAATTCTAGCTCATTCATTATCTAAACAATTCCCCGTTTACTAGGTGCATTATCATGATACCTTTTGCAGGCTACGACGTTGAAGTTAAGCGCCAATTTGAAGAGGGCATTGGGCGGCCTAATTCTTACTGGATACCTTCGTCATATGACACTTGCGATGACTAAAATCTTACTTTGATCATACAATAATATCCACTAATATTTTTTTTTATTTTTTTCATACACAACAGTCGAAAAAGGGAAACATTTTTCAAACACAGCAGTTAGATAAAGCTAAAAATAAACTGTCAAGACTTATCTCCCTTCCACCATAGGTACTATGTTTCTAATATGCTACTCTCCAATGTAAACTTTAGAATTAGCTTTTGTTGTTCTTACATCTTTCACCGTCCGGGTATCCCGGTGTCTGACCCCCGATCCTTCCGGTTTAATACCGCCTTTAGAATTCTCAGTACTCCGGTTCTTGTCCCGCGCCAATTTGATGATCTTTTTAATAAACATCATTCCCTTCCCTGATCCTCTCCGACTGAGAACGTTAGCGATAGCAAACTCCACCAAGGCGGCCACCACAAACACCAGACAAGCGGCCATCCAAATGTCTATAGCCTTGGTGTAGGACACTCGAGGCAGCGTGCGGTTCACACTGGAACTTTGGGTGGAGATGGTAAGGACTGACAACACCCCTAGGTTTACACGTCCCGGCACGGAATTCACGTTCAGCCAGAACGAGACCCAGGACAGCATCACAATCAGCAGGCTGGGAATGTACATCTGGATGACGTAATAGTTGATGTTTCTCACCATGAAGAAGTCTGCTTTCAGTGAACTGTAGTTTCCTGTACAATTAAATAAACAATAAAGAAAAGGACGTCAACGTTCTACGTTATATCGTATGTATCATCTAATAATGATGTCTCGTTTAAAAGATTTCGGGTTTTCTATCTCATTAGTAAACTTAATATGTTTTTTTTATTGTTTCGGTAATAAGGAAAGGGTTAAATTGTACGTTATATAGAATCTTCTTTTAAAGGTATGAGTTTTATAGTATCGCCTTGTAAGGTGTTATTTGAACAGTGTCTGGCCCCAATATTTTTCTTTTATTGATACTTTATGCTCTAGATTCATCGATTTTTAGTTCAAATTGTGATTTTGTTCACATTTCGTTATGATGCTTTTCATTAGATATCGTATCGGAACGATTGATATTGTTGATTGGTATGGTAGAGAGGATATCTCGTTAGTAATGCCCGACGTTCACCTCACCTCTAATCTTGCTAAATGTCTCCAGATCGTAGAAACGGTTGCCGACCAGCTGGAACTGTGGTAGTTCCATACCCTTCTTTACAAGCAGAGGATTGGTGCTATTAGACCACTTCAGACTCAGCTGGCTCTTTGTAAACCCAACTGTGATTACAGAACATGTGTATTAAACCCAACTGTGATTACAGAACATGTGTATTAATCAAAGTAACTATAACATAAATAAATGAGAAAAAAATCAAATGTTCATTTTACTGAGGAATATAGTTCATGGATTAGTCTTCAGCTACGTACAACAGTTGATTGCCCTGTCTTTATAACCTTACTGAAGGCCAGAGAGATTATCGTAACTTACTAAATTATTCTGATTGGCTGTCGTATAACAACTGTCCATTACCTCTTTGGAGCTGACGTGTACGTACATGTGACGTCATAAAGGAATCCGAAAGGAATAAGATATCGCAAAAAATATCGATCAAAACGTTTAGTTAGGAGATTTGAACTTATTAATCAACTTCGCAAGTTTGAAATTGGTGATGGAGCGTAGCTATTTGGCTTTGAAAACGGTCAATGAATTACGATACTTTTTAATATATTGGTCTGGTATATTTTCAACTTAACAAACGATACAAACGCAATCTTGGAAATATTATATCAGCCAGGTCTAACACTTTTTTGATATTCTTGTTTTTACTGACAACAGATGTACATGGTAGGAGGGAAATGTGTTACTTACAGCTCTCAATTTTAATGGAGCACGTTTGTTGGTCGAATGGATATTTGCGGAGGTTCATAGGGCAGCTTAACGTCAGAGACAACCTAGAACAAAGAGGGCATCATAGCGTATACATTGTAGCTTAAAGCATAAACCAAACATTTACAATAGAATCGAAGGAGGTAAATAGTATATTGGCATTTATGTATATTTCTCTTTCTGTCTTATAAATGTTTCGGACAATTTTCAACACCATTTGGGTAGTTGGAGAGACAGAAACAAGGGCAATTGAATAAATAATAACAAGAAAACCCCGGATGTAAATGTTACCTGGTTGTGTAGTGGACGAGAGAGTTCTTGTGGATACGTATCATTTTGTTGGCAGACATAACATTATGAAATGCTGCTCGCTTTTCGTTGGGAAAGAATATATCAGGTACCCAAAAGTTTTCCATTTTCTTAGCACCCAGTTCAACAAACTCCACATTGAAGTTTTTAAATTGCTTATCAAGGCGCGCGTCTCTCCATGTCAGATGTAATGTGACTTCAGCCGTGAATTCCTGAAAAGTGAGAAATATGATACTGTACCTATTATAATTCTAAACCACGGATAATAATTTGTGAACCGGTTTGAGACGACCTACGAACTAGGTTGTGAAAAAGCGGTATATAAGAACATGGAATAATAATAATTATTACTATTTATTATCTTAATCGTTTCCTGGTTATTTTGCAGAAAATTTGGACTACATTTGAATCTTGGTTTGATAAAATAGGGTTAAACACTCGCGTGACCGTTATCTTAGAATTCGTACAAGTATGTAATTGATTTTAAAGAAAATAATATATCCTGGCTTCCACATAAAGGTATGTAATCTCTATCGGAATAAAAAACGATTATGAAGAAACGTTGAACTAAAACAAAAGCGTAAACAGGGATAAATCGGAACGAAAGGGCGATACAAACAGACAACAGCATTAGCTTAGGCAACATCAAACAACTGTATTAAAATCCAACTACGATAAATACATGATATCTGTGATGGTGTTACCTGTAGGTGTTTTATACTTACCATCTCCACTTCTGTGACTGAGTCGATACTGTTTATGTGAAGGTCACACTCAATAATGACGGGTTTACCTGTAATTACATTGACATTGAGGTTTAATTTAAATCTTTTCATTCTCGCGAAGACCTATCTTGGAGATCTTGCTAAGTGTACAAGCGACAACTTATAGGCGAGAACTTAAATTTACAAATCTAACAATAACAGTTCCTTTAGATAACCGAATATCTGTTATGTACAGTATAATGTGAAAAGATATTGGCGAGATTTTTTATATTCAAGCAAAAAAAATGTCATAATTAGTTATTTGCTATACCAGGATCTTTAAACCTACAACTTTTGTTAGAGCTGTCACCAAAGTATCGAATGAGTCTAAATAATAATCAAAATAAACACATAATTAAAAGTTAATGTTTTCATTTTTACACATTTTTATCAAATAGGCACAATCTAAATTAAAGTAAAACTAAACCATCTCCACCCTAAGGCTGGTTCATTGTATCACACTAATAATGCTATTTTGTAATAAAGGAAATATAAATATCAATCAATAAATCATATGATATTTATACTACAGTAAGATGTATCAGTTCATGTCATCAAACTAACAATGCATTTGATTGTTGTGACATTTTATCACATACCTGTTGAATCTTGTTATAGTAATAGTAATACAAGCAATTTTCAGACCATGAAATACAACGTTCTGTATTGCACATGTGCAATACGGAATGTTGTATTTACCTACTAGCCGGAACTACTTTTTATGGAAATCCCCTTGTCATGGCGAACGTTCCCGGTATTTGCAAAAACTTTCAAAGTTTATAAAATCTTTGTATCGATCTCTACCAAATACGGAAGGTATGTGATAAAAGCAAGACCACACACTTGTGTTCTTGCATATATATTTCATACTTTCATCGTGTGGTCGAGTTTACCTCTTAATATGTGAAATGTTGATATCATTTTTATGCTGTTGTATTCGGTTGAAAGAAAACAACCACAAGTGTTGACGTTTTTATACAATACGCTAGGAACAGTCTTCATTAGTTGTATTTTATTTTGTTTATTTGGCCTATGTTTATCTGCTGAGGATGAGATTTGGACGTGGCCAGACCTTGGTTGTTGTAGTTGGGCCTGTACACGTAGTTGTTGGACGACGATATCTGGTCGACTATTTCAGTCTTCCTGTAAGATATAAGGGAAGACATGCTTAATTCTAGACATCATGGAACAAATAAAGATCGTTAAAATTAGTATACTACATTGTACAAGAATGTCAACAACACTTAAAAAATAATAGTGTATCATCTGTATCCCCTCGAGCACCAAAAGACGTCGTGTAGACCCTCCAGTACACCCTGCTGCGAGTACCTGGATACCACCATTGCTAGCCTTATTTATGGTGCGAGTGGTTCTCATGAAAAAAATGACATAATCTAATTTATAACAATGATTACGATCTAGCTTTTTTCTGAGAAGTTAGATAGAAAACAATGAGCTCATGAGAAAATGTCTTAAATGTAAAACAAGCGAGCCGTGGGACTGGTGTCCGGTACCCGCCTATACTTTTGTATTTGGAGATTTTCTTGTGGAACAACTAAAAAAGTTCTAGTTACCTTTAGATCTACTTATAACCTGTCACGTTCACGGTTAGAATGTTCAACCGAACTTAGCGTGAAGGTAACTTGAAATCAGTTTGTAAATATGTCGAATGCTGATTTATGTGCTTACGAGCGATGTCGATAGATTCATTGAAATAATCATCTGATGTAAAGCATGATGTCAGTGTTAATTGTTTCGTCTGTGAATCAAATAATGACTGAAAAGGAAAAATCCTTCCCAAATATATATATATTTATATAGGTTAAATAGACAAAATAGGACAACTGTCGAAAGTGTAAAACACGATAAAAACGCGAAGCTTATTGTGAATGAAGACATAAAGGTATCACGTGACAAATGTTAGACCTGTCTATATCAAAATTCAGGATCATCGCAGTTCCCTACGTTATCTCTCAAAGCTGTAACAGAAGATGCCAATACATGTATTGTACTATGAAATAACACCTATTTCTATAACACTCCTCTACTTACACGTATGTCTATCCGTAAAATTAATAACTAGCAAAACAAATTTAGATCCGCTTGTGTCCGCGTATATTTTACCCCGTACACATACATGTACTTTCACAGATCCGATCTCGTCTAAAACGTTCCTACAGTTTGTTAAATAAATAGTACATGTATGATATATGAACACATACGTGTATAGATAACATGTTGATATCGTCGTTAATACATCAAATGTGATGTAAGGGAGGCCTGTTAAATAGGTCTTGTCTTTTTGGCAATCTATCAACAAGGAAACCAAAACTTCAAGTTCTTTTTTTTTTAACTATAAACGTCAAAAGGTTCCTTTACACTGTAAACAACACCCTGCTATAGATAGGTCTGACCTCAGTGTAGTAAGGTTTACACTGTAAACAACACCCTGATATAGATAGGTCGGACCTCAGTGTAGTAAGGTTTACACTGTAAACAACACCCTGATATAGATAGGTCTGACCTCAGTGTAGTAAGGTTTACACTGTAAACAACACCCTGATATAGATAGGTCGGACCTCAGTGTAGTAAGGTTTACACTGTAAACAACACCCTGATATAGATAGGTCGGACCTCAGTGTAGTAAGGTTTACACTGTAAACAACACCCTGATATAGATAGGTCGGACCTCAGTGTAGTAAGGTTTACACTGTAAACAACACCCTGATATAGATAGGTCGGACCTCAGTGTAGTAAGGTTTACACTGTAAACAACACCCTGATATAAATAGGTCGGACCTCAGTGTAGTAAGGTTTACACTGTAAACAACACCCTGATATAGATAGGTCGGACCTCAGTGTAGTAAGGTTAACACTGTAAACAACACCCTGATATAGACAGGTCTGATCTCAGTGTAGAAGGTTTACATTGTAAACAACATCCTGATATAGATAGGTCGGACCTCAGTGTAGTAAGGGGTTTACACTGTAAACAACATCTTGATATAGATAGGTCTGACCTAAGTGTAGTAAGGTTAACACTGTAAATAACACCCTGATATAGATAGGTCTGACCTCAGTGTAGTAAGGTTTACACCGTAAACAACACCCTGATATAGATAGGTCTGACCTCAGTGTAGAAAGGTTTACACTGTAAACAACACCCTGATATAGATAGGTCTGATCTCAGTGTAGTAAGGTTTACACTGTCAACAACATCCTGATATATATAGGTCTGACCTCAGTGTAGTACGGTTAACACTGTAAACAAAACATAGATATAGATAGGTCTGACCTCAGTGTAGTAAGGTTTACACTGTAAACAACACCCTGATATAGGTATGTCTGACCTCAGTCTAGTAAGGATTACACTGTAAACAACACCCTGATATAGATAGGTCTGACCTCAGTGTAGAAAGGTTTACACTATAAACAACACCCTGATATATATAGGTCTGACCTCAGTGTAGTAAGGTTTACACTGTAAACAACATCTTGATATAGATAGGTCTGACCTCAGTGTAGTAAGATTTACACTGTAAACAACACCTTGATATAGATAGGTCGACCTCAGTGTAGTTAGGTTACACTGCAAACAACCCCCTGACATAGATATGTCTGACCTCAATGTAGTAAGGTTTACACTGTAAAAAACACCGTGATATAGATAAGTCGGACCTCAGTGTAGTAAGGTTTACACTGCAAACAACACTCTGATATAGATAGGTCTGACCTCAGTGTAGAAAGGTTTACACTGTAAACAACACCCTGATATAGGTATGTCTGACCTCAGTCTAGTAAGGTTTACACTGTAAACAACACCCTGATATAGATAGGTCTGACCTCAGTGTAGAAAGGTTTACACTGTAAACAACACCCTGATATAGATAGGTCGGACCTCAGTGTAGTAAGGTTACACTGCAAACAACACCCTGATATAGATATCTCTGACCTCAGTGTAGAAGGTTTACATTGTAAACAACACCCTGATTTAGATAGGTCTGACCTCATTGTAGTAAGGTTTACACTGCGAACAACCCCAACATACAGATAGTCTGACCTCAGTGTGTTAAGGTTTACACTGTAAACAACACCTTGATATAGATAGGTCTGACCTCAGTGTAGTAAGGTTTACACTGTAAACAACACCCTGATATAGATGTGTCTGACCTCAGAGTAGTAAGGTTTACACCGTAAATAACACCCTGATATAGATGGGTCTGACCTCGGTGTAGTAAGGTTTACACTGTAAACAACACCCTGATATAGATAGGTCTGACCTCATTGTAGTAAGGTTTACACTGCAAACAACCCCCACATACAGATAGTCTGACCTCAGTGTAGTAAGGTTTACACTGTAAACAACACCCCGATATAGATGTGTCTGACCTCAGTGTAGTAAGGTTTACACTGTAACCAACACCCTGATATAGATAGGTCGGACCTCAGTGTAGTAAGGTTTACACTGTAAACAACACCCTGATATAGATGGGTCTGACCTCAGTGTAGTAAGGTTTACACCGTAAATAACACCCTGATATAGATGGGTCTGACCTCGGTGTAGTAAGGTTTACACCGTAAATAACACCCTGATAAAGATGGGTCTGACCTCAGTGTAGTAAGGTTAACACTGTAAACAACACCCTTATATAGATAGGTCTGGCCTCAGTGTAGTAAGGTTTACACTGTAAACAACACCCCGATATAGATAGGTCTGACCTCAGTGTAGAAAGGTTTACACTGTAAACAACACCCTGATATAGATAGGTGTGACCTCAGTGTTGTAAGGTTTATACTGTTAACAACACCCTGATATAGATAGGTCTGACCTCGGTGTAGTAAGGTTTACACTGTAAACAACACCCTGATATAGATGTGTCTGACCTCAGTGTAGTAAGGTTTACACTGTAAACAACACCTTACTACACTGAGGTCAGACCTATCGATATCAGGGTGTTGTTTACAGTGTAAACAACACCCTGATATAGATGGGTCTGACCTCAGTGTAGTAAGGTTTACACTGATCACAAAACATTGATATAGATAGGTCTGACCTTATTGAATTAAGGTTTACACTGCTCAAAAAACACTCATATATATATATATATCTGGTAGACCTAAGCGAAACGTAATTTTAAAGACAGAGCAAATATGAGTTTTTTATGTTTAAATCACAAAAGACGCCTATATACCTTTCAATCAATTAAAACGTTTGAAAAGAGAAAGGTAGTGTTTTTAAAAGACATTAAGTATTGAAATGGAAGCAGCATGTCACAGTTGGGTTTTTTCCTAGTTATGTAGATAATCTTGCATTAGTCGCCTCATACAGTCATGCAGTGGGATACGGTAGATCAACTCTCTATCCCAGAGTATAAAAGTATAATGACTGACTTACTGAGCCTAGGTATAACTCTCTATCCCAGAATATAAAAGTATAATGACTGACTTACCGAGCCTAGCTATAACTCTCTATCCCAGAGTATAAAAGTATAATGACTGACTTACTGAGCCTAGGAGACATTAAAGAATACCAAATCTGATCTGATGTAGTCATTGCAATTAGTTAACTGTTTGTAGCATCGCCTTTTGTTCATACATTTTCTATTCTGACCCTGATGTCATCCTTGACACCACCCGCAGTCAAAATGTTAGAGTATTGCACCGCACTATGGTGAGGCAGCTAGAGAAATGATAAAGATATCACGGAAACTAACAGCGTATGCACATGTACTATAATATCACATGTACTATAATATCACATGTACATCACATGTACTATACTATCACATATACTATACTATCACATGTACTATAATATCACATGTACTATAATATCACATGTACATCACTTGTACTATAATATCACATGTGCTATAATATCACATGTACATCACATGTACTATAATATCACATGTACTATAATATCACAATACATTTCATATCGAGTTAAAATCGCCGTTACCAGGAGTGTGTTTAATACAAGACCCACTCGTGTGGGGCTGAACTTACTAACACATACGGTGTACTACACCAAACATAATCGGTGAAGTTACCAACAGTGTCCCTCAAGCGAAACAACTTCATATGGAGCTAAATATATAAGCTCAGTGATACAAAGTACTACCGATGTATACATACTCCAAGGCAAGTATCAACAATACCAAATACATGTAAATGAGGCTACAGAGGTAACCCCTTAAGTAACATTTAGGGGCTACAGACGTACGCCAATACGGACAAAACAAAAAATACATTAGCCACTACGACCAAAGATGGCTACTTTTTTTTATTTAAAAGCAAGTAAAGTGTATGTGTGACGTGGGAACGCAATTGAATAAACTGACGAGCTCAGACGGTACCATAGTTATTGTATAAAACACACCATCTAGGAAACGTTTTGTCTGAAGAAGGTTCTTCAAATTCATTTTAAAATTTGACTTGGAACTCCGGTGAATAAATTGACACGCTAAGCGTATCATAATTATTTTATTAAACACACTATCCATGAATGGTTTTGTCTAATACAGTTTTTAATACATTCTTGCATTTCTTCTCTCAAATTTGAAGAACATGTATGAATAAGGAAAAACAAAAAATTTGATAAAGTTCAGTGTATTTGTGTAGCTGAAGGTGAGGTATCGAGGCAACAGTGACAAAAACGTCATCGTCCAGGTAAATCTGGTCTACTAAGTTTCCTCAAGTGACTAGTAAAGCACAACATTTCTGTAGAACATTATTTAGGGCAGAAAGGGAGTTAATACAAAATCATAGCGAGGATGAACAGCACACGCTTGTTTGTATATATTTAACAGTATGTGTAGTAGTCGTAATAGAAAAGAAGTTCCAAACAAAATAAAGTCAAAACTTTCAAAATGGATATTTTAGAAAATAAATTTGGTTAGTTTAGAAGTCTTTCCTCAAGTCAAATGCACTGGAATCTCGGATATAGGCAGGAGTCTAGGTACATAATTTACATATTTCAGAGTCGACTGTTAAGGTTTTCAAAGAACCAAGTGTGTGACCAGGTAACAAAACGAGTGGTGGGTTACAATGTATGTAAATGATGTTACTCCATACTAAAGGCAAGAATTGTCAACTGAACCGGAAGTGACGCGTATTGGAAAAGATGACATGTTTTATTTGTAGAAGAATATAAAGTTCCTACTTGAACATTGGACAGGTGTAAAAACGATACCAAGTGTGTGTAGGCGTGCGCAGCAGGGCCCTATCCATCAAATATCCCCAACGCAATACGTCTGATGTTGAATTTTTAATAGACTCCGCTCAGCTGTCGGAAATTTGACAAATGGTTCCCTACACGTGTCTTAGCACTATTACCGCCTACAATGACTACTTATAGACAGGTTCCACGACATGGCTACACACATTAAACATAATATACCATATACATACTGTAATACAGACTCCATAAACAATAGCTGGCTGACCATTTATGTATAGTAATGTACACGTTAAACTGATACCATTTCATCTATGTTTTACTACATTGTCTGTACACTTACTGGTTGTTAGATCTTTTGGTGCGTGAATCCGTCGCTAAAACTTCAGTGGTAAGACCCAGTTGGGCCAGCACACACAACCATCGGACAGTAGTCACCGCGTCCATTTCTGGTCAAGGAAATCAAGTACGTCACATTCTTCAAAACAAATGCTATCAAGAATTTAAAATGATTGGTACAGTCTCTTGTGGATGGCGCCGACACTCTATAGCATGCTAATAATCAAGTTCCTTAAAATAGAACCACAGTTCATAAACTTGTACTGGCGTTTTAAGCTTGCAGTAGCCGGGATGTTGAAACAAGGGAGAGAACTGCGAACGTTTGATCGGTTTTCCATAACACGTCATCACCGAGGCTCCAGATGGATCGATTTCGGCCGTATATATATACAATGGTTTGCGGTAAATACACGCGCCAGCGGGTTGTAGAGGCAAGCATGGAAAATATCATATACCATTTTATTCAATTCGTGATAGAGCTGCCGTTTGCCTATGTCATGTCTTGTTAATACATCAGTAACTTATAATCGCGAGGCCCACAACTCCCGCCGACTTCCCATACGCATCACATTAACAAATCTAAAACTCTGTTAGCTCACAAATATCTATGTCATATAGATAAAACCGAATATGGGAAAGTGAATTTTTATATCTGTTTAAACTAATTTCACAAAAATACTAATCTAATTATTTCTTTGTCACTATATACGTTTTAATTATTTGATCAATAGCGTTTATCAATGCCTCACAATTGACACAGTTTTAGATGCAGGTTAATTAATTTCTGTTTCTATTTTCACACGAAAACACTTTAAAACAAACAGCAGCGTTTGATATTAGGACTAATAACAGCATGGTTTGGAGCATAATAAAGCAGAATGCATTAATTACAACGGGTAACCGGTATTACATGTACATTGTATTTCTAACCAAAAAGGGCATTTGAGAGTCTAGCAAACTATCGAGGTGGTTAAAAAGATTTAGCTAAGTCAGTGAAAATTCCGATTCATGTATGATTCAGCAAATCCTGTTTAAGGTGGGTCCATCCTTTTGGAAAAACCCATGTCATTTTTTTGTAATTAGGCTTATTTTCTTGCATGTTTTACGTAGATTCCATATCTGAACGGAATATGTCGTTTCCGCGATACAGGTTTCCGGAACTAAAAATAAGCTTCGCAAATTATTTTGGTCATATGTCTTACACTTTTTGTATACACTGAGCATTAAATACTTCTGACATTCAAAATGTTTTAAAAGCTGATTTTAATATATGAAATTCAATGTATAGATGTAAACAATTACATATGTTAGACATATTACTGTTACACTGTGTTTTCATACATGCGAGCACTTGTCTACCTTGGTGACACAGAGCATATCTACAGGCTGTTAAGCAGTTCCACGTGTACATAAGTCATAATTTATAAATGACTGCATTAAATTATACTAATACTGCATAATTATACCTGGTCTTCAACCAAACTTACAGGAATGATAAATATTGATAAAATTTACTTTCATGGTACAATGTAGTAGATAAGCTAGAAATATATATATACACATGTAGAATAAAGTCTTATCAAAATAACTTTTAATAACAGCTTATTCCACAATCCATATTGAAAATTATGACATGTATAATATGTTTTGCTAAATCTATGAGAAAGTAAGTCAGCTCACCAGTGTCCCATTTTCAAGTTTTTACACCATTACATTTTTTCTTCAAAATTTTAATTCATCTCTTGATTAATGTATCACCAGAAGTCAATCTTGGTGAATGCTTAGTTCAGGACAGAGACTAATTAACTAAAAGAGACATTAGCAGCAGCTATTACACATTCATTTTCACATGATAGATTTTAGTATATGGGGTTTTGTCAAATTATCTTTTGGTACTTTGCTATTTCCTGGTTATCATGTTCATTTTCCATCCTTGTTATGATGACCCATGTCCTTATAAATTATTCTCTATGATTTGATATATCCAGGTTTGGCCTATTGCATTTTACTTTTTGTCCTTACTTCCTGTTATAATAAAAAAAAAACTATGCATCTTTTAAAAATTTACTCTGATTTGTTCAGATATGAATTAAATTTGACAAAAAAATGATACACTATACACAATACACTCCAAATACAATAAGAAACAAAGTGATTTGTTTACTAATTTTAAAATCTTTCAATAAAATTTTGCTTTGATGTTTTGAGTTGAAATGCAACCTGATAATATAAGCAAAATTTCACTTCCTAAAACGGAGATTAGAATTTAAATAAAGGAAAATTACCTGTAATGTATTAGATGTATTTCCTACCACTGCTTTTCCTTAACCTAGAAAGCTGATCATGGCTCTTGTAAGTAACTGACCAGTTTTTAAATCCAAGCGTGGTGTCGTTAGGTTACCGTAAATCATACTGAAATTTAGCCAACATGCGCAGCTTTGAGAAGGATGGACCCACCTTAAAACAATATGTACTTTAAATTAAATTCACACTATTTCATGAAACTAGACAGCTTGATTGATCACTTTGACGGCCTATTTGACAAGTAAGTATTTTAATTCGACAAGCATGTCTATCAGGAAGGTCATTGGGACGGATATTGGTATCCGTAAAACCCAGAGGTCGTTTTCTTATGTTACTATGACTTTGTAACATCCGGATATAGATTAATGGAGCTATATTGACAATAGGGGTGAACCTAACGATCTAAGAGACCTAGCACTGGACACTGCGCCTTAAAGCCAATCAAACTGACTGCAGTGACCCGTACACACACAAAGGCGAGTTCCCTTATGTCGGCGGTGATGGATGTTGTAGCGCCGTTTGCTGGAAATTCAGAAGAAACTGTCTAATATCGTCGTCTGCTGTTGGGATACCTCATTGCTCATGGTTTGAGACACTTACCACCTCATCAATGTTCTAGTTAAGCTGAATTGGTCTAATCTGGCGGGTAATCCGTCAACGGAAAACGGATATTATGCATACACTTCGATCGTATCCGAGACAGTCGTATTGATACCGATCCTTAACATAAGCTACATTACAAAGAGTGAATTATTTGTGGATATCAGGAAGATTAAACTATACACCGACAGACGAAAATTACTAAAATCTTAGAACAATATTTGTGATAAACCACTGGCGGAAATTCGACTAACAGCTGTTTTTAATGTAAAAGATAAAAAAAAGTAGTGATATCACTCCTGAATATTTGTATACTCTCACGTCCTTAGTCTCTCTCACTTGAAACGCATGTCAGATTTGATAGATTTCATAATAGTGTATAAATTGAATTTGTTGGTAATGTTTTAATGTGTAATGGTGGTTTTTTTTTTGCGATGCCCGTACTATGCAGTACAGTCTTTCTACTAGACACAAAAGTTGGAGTAAAATCAAGCACACAATCATCTTCACGGCGTTCTGACCCCTTTTATAGCAAGCCACTGACATTTTGAGGGTCAAAAGCCATTTGAATAGGTCATATACTCGTAAACTCGGGGTTAACGGGTAACATGATATTGCCGTACAGAAGAGCCAGGCACGAGTTATCTGGAACCTATTCATGATTATAGGGGATGCTATAATTAATAACATTGCAAATATACCTATATATAATAGAAAATTTATAATTTAAAAGTGTACTGCTACCCCTAGAAATGCTGAAATACCATACATCTCGAGTCTAAACTAGCCCCAACCTCTAGAATCTTTTATTAATAATACAAGAGACAATCTCTTGTGGATGTCTGAATCTATGTTTCAAACTAGGGAAATATAAGCTAGTAGAATATGCAACTGGAAAGTTCCTTAAAAATCTTCGTGACTGGTAGCCTGTCTAATATATATAATGGCGACCCCTGGATGTACGAGTGTATAGTGTCTATAGCTATCTCACAAGAAAACACCTGATTGTTTGGGTAATTTTAGTGTGCCGAAGGCAATCTCCCCAATCATACATTGTAGATGCGAAAGAATAAAAAGAAACATTTAAAGCTGTAAAAACAACACTCGATTATATTTTTATCAATCCACGACTAGGAAAATAAAGTTAAATGTGTTAACAGGTGGTGTGGGTTACAAACAAAAGTCTTAGGGAGACGAAAATAGCTAAAAAGTTTTTTTTAAAGAAAAGATTTTGGAATCAAGACAATTTTACAGTAAATGTTGTTATCCGGACTAACTTGCGTTTATATATACATCGTTTATTGTCTTTCATTTGTCTACGGACTTATCTCATCGCGAGTTGATGATACTACTGTTTACAACCAATTCACAATCTCGTTATTAACGTTTAAGAATTTAGAAATAAAAAAAATAAAATAATAATATACAACATTTATTTAGCGCCCTTTATAATTTGCAAAATTACTCTAAAGCGCTTTACAACACATGAAACATGAGAGTCCTACAGTGATATTTATACATATAATTATTAAAAAAAAATAGGATACAAATCAGCGAGATGCACGACGAAAAAGTATCTCCCAAAGTATATATAGAAAAAGACGTCCAATAGGCAACCGTAATTCCATACATATTAAACAAATACTCACTGCTCACTAAACGTGTAAAATACAAGTATGTAAGCTTGCATATTTTCTCTTTTAAAAGGTGCCAAATGTTGGAATATCTGTGCCATTTTATACATAGATTCCAGTCAAAGAAAAGTGGATTGTAATTACGGGTCTAGCCCATTTGTATGTACAATATCTTTTTCTAATGTATGCATGTTCATCTAAATAAAACGATTAAATGTCAATGTGCAGTATATAGAAAAAATTAGATCTAACGACCGACTAGAAACATAAGCTGTTTTCCCCCTTCACAGGGCTCTTCAGGATTATTTGGAAACAGACAAATCGTGACGTCATAATTGCATGTCATCACACTACAAACATTATATGAACATCTATATATTTAAGTCCATTTTCGAAGATCTATTGTCACTCAGTGAAACCTGTACTAAGATACCAACATTAGGGAATCGGAAAATTCAAAAGCTTTCTCAATGCAGGTGGTATGTTTACCTGGCTTCAACGTGATAAAAAATGGTCTCCTAACACAGCTGGTCTTTTCATAAAGGTGGTCGCATAAGCAGGTTAGGGTGTACTGCATTTACCCCATTGATTGAATAAAAATTAATGTAAATTAGTTTACAGAACCTATTTAAGATTAGCTTTAGATACATATTCCAAATAACGCCTATATGGTGAAGGGAATCTCGTATCGCGATCAAAGTATTACACACTACCTACTTTTGATATTACTTTAAGGACATCATAACAAAGTTATTGCCGTAAGTGCTCGTGTCATGTCCGCAATGAAGATTACCAGTTGATTTATCGAGCGACTCGCTAAATGTCTTGATTTAAACATATACAGAAATGGTATCGGGCACAAGTTCACTTCTGTGTAATACAATAGTCTGAAGACACTTCTCCATCAGGCGTGTCTAAGTTGTTAGGATGAGTATTACAAGTCGTGTATATCAAGGCAGTATACTGTATACACTATAGAACAGTAATGGCTAGATCAGCATACGGCAAGGAATTAGGACTATTAAACCTAGCTTACAAGTAGCCATTGAAGATCGTGTTACCAGTAAGTAGTCGGTATAACACGTTTATTCAGTACGCGCTACCGTAGTATTGCAGTTACCATGGCAACACCTGCGTTGAAATAAAGATATTCCAAGAATTTCAAATGTTAAAAAATGAGAGAAAGTGTTAGATTTAGATTATGTCATCAGGACAATTACGAGCTAGATAGATCTAATTGGGGAAAACGCTCCTCTGCTGGCTGTGTTGGGGACGCGCAGAGAATGTGGTCACCGAAAACACTGAAACCAATTTAACTCAACATAAAAATATCTCATAAGGAACATAACAAATTGTCTTACACTGAACATAACAAGTTTTCTCACATATAACATAACAAGTTGTCTTACACTAGCATAACAAGTTGTCTCACACAGATCATAACAAGTTGTCTTACACTGAACAAAACAAGTTGTCTTACGCTAGTATAACAAGTTGTCTTACATATAACATAACAATTTGTCTTATATATAACATAACAAGTTGTCTTACACTAGCATAACAAGCTGTCTTACATATAACATAACAAGTTGTCCTACACTGAACAAAACAAATTGTCTTACACTAGTATAACAAGTTGTCTCACACAGATCATAACAAGTTGTCTTACACTGAACAAAACAATTTGTCTTACACTAGTATAACAAGTTGTCTCACATATAACATAACAAGTTGCCTTAAACTAGCATAACAAGTTGTCTTACACAGATCATAACAAGTTGTCTTACATATAACATAACAAGTTGTCGTACACAGATCATAACAAGTTGTCTTAGACTGAACATAACAAGTTGTCTTACATAAAACATAACAAGTTGACCTACATATGGCATAACAAGTTGTCTTATATATAACATAACAAATTGTCTTACACTGAACATAGCTAGTTGTCTTACATATAACATAACAAGTTGTCTTACACTAGCATAACAAGTTGTCTGACACAGATCATAGCAAGCTGTCTTACACTGAACATAACAGTTTTTCTTTCACTGAACATAACAAGTTGTCTTACACCTAACATAACAAGCTGTCTCACACTGAACATAACAAGTTTATCACACTGAGCATTACACATTTTTCGCACTGTTCATAACGATTTGTCTAACACAAATGACACAACTCATTGTCTACCTTCAAGCATACAGCAGCTCGCCTATAACGCAAACAATTGTCATGCGTAAAAACCAGAGAACATTTTAGACATGAAAATGATCAGATATACTTAAATAAAGTATTGTTCAGACATTCCCGAAATGTAAATTATAAACAGATCCTAATGGTGTACAATGTAGATCCGCCATTACTTAACAACACTGGGTTCGTTTAGCCACAACGATTACTCTGCTGCTTTCTTTGATGTAAATAACAATTGAATGTATAACGTTAATTTGTCTGTTGTGATACAACGTAATACGTACATGTACTAAATACCCACGCCTAAATATTATAAAATCAAATCAACCTAAGGTAGTAAATTCACAGTTACCCTAATCCAGATCTGGAAATATTTAAACAGAGAAGCAAAACGAATCCTAAACAAAATGATCAAGCGCTTTATGTTCATATACATAAAAACAGCCTGTATTTCTTCTCTTTTGTGAGGAATATGATTAATCGAAATACACAATACCCGCATGCTTATCGCATCAAGTGAATTTGCTTTACTTCTTCCAGTTTTCTTAAGTTTCACTGGTCTGCCATGGACTCTTTGTGATCCAGTACATAAATGTAATAATCTGAGTACTAAGTTATCTTTCTTGTGTACCGGTATGAAGTGAACGCTTAACTTCCTATTGTTAGAAAGGACAAGCGTCTTTCAAGACAGCCCTATTCTTTTATGAAAATCTTATACTAAGCAACAGCTACTTGACAATTAAGTGTTCAACGACGTCTAAATCTTTATATACAGCAGTTATCTCCCTTTCGTTTAAGCCCCTGTCAAGTTCCCATCTATTTTGACCTCTCCCCTTTTCTTTGTTATCTCCCCTATGTTGTTACATCTCTTCTGTTCGCATTGTTACCTCTCCTTTGTTTTGACCTTTCGTCTGATCTTTAACTATGTGTTACCTCTTCTTTGTTCTTGTTTTATCTCCCCTTTGTTTAAACGTCAACCCGGCTTTTGTTATAAGCTCCCCGCTGTTTGTAATCGCTCTTCTACCGTCTTGTTTGCCTTTCTTCTGTTATCACATATATCCTGCTCTCTCGCTGTTGCCTTCTGTTTGTTGTTATGTATCTCCTTCTCTCTCGCTGTTGCCTTCTGTCTGTTGTTATGTATCTCCTTCTCTCTCTCGCTGTTGTCTTCTGTCTGTTGTTATGTATCTCCTTCTCTCTCGCTGTTACTTCCTATCTGTTGTTATGTATCTCCTTCTCTCTCGCTGTTGCCTTCTGTCTGTTGTTATGTATCTCCTTCTCTCCCGTTGTTCCCTTCTGTCTGTTGTTATGTATCTCCTTCTCTCTCTCGCTGTTGTCTCCTGTCTGTTGTTATGTATCTCCTTCTCTCTCTCGCTGTTGTCTTCTGTCTGTTGTTATGTATCTCCTTCTCTATCGCTGTTGCCTTCTGTCTCTTGTTATGTATCTCCTTCCCTATCGCTGTTGCCTTCTGTCTGTTGTTATGTATCTCCTTCTCTCTCGTTGTTGCCTTCCATTTGTTCTTAAGTATCTCCTTCTCTAGCGCTGTTGCCTTCTGTCTGTTGTTATGCATCTCCTTCTCTCTCGTTGTTGCCTTCCATCTGTTCTTGAGTATCTCCTTCTCTATCGCTGTTGCCTTCCATCTGTTGTTATGTATCTATTTCTCTCTCGCTGTTGCCTTCTGTCTGTTGTTATGTATCTCCTTCTCTATCGCTGTTGCCCTCTGTCTGTTGTTATGCATCTCCTTCTCTCTCGTTGTTGCCTTCCATCTGTTCTTAAGTATCTCCTTCTCTATCGCTGTTGCCTTCTGTCTGTTGTTATGTATCTCCTTCTCTCTCGTTGTCGCCTTCCATCTGTTCTTAAGGATCTCCTTCTCTATCGCTGTTGCCCTCTGTCTGTTGTTATGCTTCTCCTTCTCTCTCGTTGTTGACTTCCATCTGTTGTTATGTATCTCCTTCCCTATCGCTGGTGCCTTCTGTCTGTTGTGATGTATCTCCTTCCCTATCGCTGTTGCCTTCCATCTGTTCTTAAGGATCTCCTTCTCTATCGCAGTTGCCTTCCATCTGTTGTTGTGTATCTCCTGCTCTCTCGTTATGTATCTCCTTCTCTCTCTCTGTTGCCTTCTGTCTGGTGTTATGTATCTCCTTCACTCTCGTTGTTGCCTTTGATCTGTTGTTATGTATCTCCTGCTCTCTCGCTGTTGCCTTCTGTCTCTTGTTATGTATCTCCTTTCCTATCGCTGTTGCCTTCTGTCTGTTGTTATGTATCTCTTTCTCTCTCTCTCGCTGTTGCCTTCTGTCTGTTGTTATGTATCTCCTTCTCTCTCGTTATTGCCTTCTGTCTGTTGTTATGTATCTCCTTCTCTATCGCAGTTGCCTTCCATCTGTTGTTATGTATCTCCTTCTCTATAGCTGTTGCCTTCTGTCTGTTGTTATGTATCTCCTTCTCTCTCGTTATTGCCTTCTGTCTGTTGTTATGTTTCTCCTTCTCTCTCGCTGTTGCCTTCCGTCTGTTGTTATGTATCTCCTTCTCTATCGCTGTTGACTTGCATCTGTTGTTATGTATCTCCTTCTCTATCGCTGTTGCCTTCTGTCTGTTATGTATCTTCTTCTCTATCGTTGTTGCCTTCTGTCTGTTGTTATGTATCTCCTTCTCTCTCGCTGTTGCTTCCTGTCTGTTGTTATGTATCTCCTTCTCTATCGCTGTTGCCTTCTGTCTGCTGTTATGTATCTCCTTCTCTCTCGCTGTTGCTTCCTGTCTGTTGTTATGTATCTCCTTCTTTCTCGCTGTTGCCTTCTGTCTGTTGTTATGTATCTCCTTCTCTCCCGCTGTTGCCTTCCATCTGTTGTTATGTATCTCCTTCTCTATCGCTGTTGCCTTCTGTCTGTTATGTATCTTCTTCTCTATCGTTGTTGCCTTCTGTCTGTTGTTATGTATCTCCTTCTCTCCCGCTGTTGCCTTCCATCTGTTGTTATGTATCTCCTTCTCTCTCGCTGTTGCCTTCCATATGTTGTTATGTATTTCCTGCTCTCTCGCTGTTGCCTTCCATCTGTTGTTATGTATTTCCTGCTCTCTCGCTGTTGCCTTCCATCTGTTGTTATGTATTTCCTGCTCTCTCGCTGTTGCCTTCCATCGTCTGTTGTTATGTATCTCCTTCTCTATCGCAGTTGCCTTCTGTCTGTTGTTATGTATCTCCTTCTCTCTCGCTGTTGCCTTCCATATGTTGTTATGTATTTCCTGCTCTCTCGCTGTTGCCTTCCATCTGTTGTTATGTATCTCTTTCTCTCTCGCTGTTGCCTTCTGTCTGTTGTTATGTATCTCCTTCTCTCTCGCTGTTGCCTTCTGTCTGTTGTTATGTATCTCCTTCTCTCTCGTTGTTGCCTTCTGTGTGTTGTTATGTATCTCCTTCTCTCTCGCTGTTGCCTTCTGTCTGTTGTTATATATCTCCTTCTCTCTCGTTGTTGCCTTCCATCTGTTGTTATGTATCTTTTTCTCTCTCGTTGTTGCCTTCCATCTGTTGTTATGTATCTCTTTCTCTCTCGCTGTTGCCTTCTGTCTGTTGTTATGTATCTCCTTCTCTCTCGCTGTTGCCTTCTGTCTGTTGTTATGTATCTCCTGCTCTGTCGCCGTTGTCGTCTCTCTGTCGTCATCTCTCTCCAGTCCTGGTTGTCGTTTTCTGTGTTTGATATATAAGGTTATTTCTGACGTTGTTTGAAATCCCTTGATTATCGTTTAATCTGTTCCCGTTTTAATACTTCAACTTACGAACGTCAGTTTTGGATTCTATCATATCATTTGTTCCTCGTTACAAGATTCGAGCCAGATACATGGAGATAATAAAAATGCGTTGATTTCCTTTATAAAGCCACGTAATTGAACTAGAGTGTAGTGAAAATTCTGTACTTAGTTAACATAATGGCAAGCAGAATATTATTGATCAGTGAAATAAATGTCTGTTCTGTCGAGCTAACATATTTGCGATCATATGTTTGCGGTCCCGCGAAACCTGGAAAATATCCACTTTGTATAGATTACAGGTTAAGTTTTCAACGACATTGAGTACAGTTCCGCGTTTGAAACCACTACAGCAGAGCATTGTTTTCAGTTCTTATATGAGGTACAGAGGGTAAAGGGAAGATCAAACTTAAGTATAAGTTATAAGTTGATATTGTATTCACGAGAGAGCGTAATATTGAATGGTTATCCGTGCTATCGACTTCCTTTGTATGTATATACTTCTGGATACGTAGACTTTTTTGCGCGCCTAATAAAGCAACCAACATCATTCATACGTTACCACCCAAGGAGCCGATATTTGAAATATGGCTATTAATAAAAGAACATAGTCATTTTCAAAACATTTTATAGGTATTGCATAATTTAACCTACAACAATAGAATTGGAAAAGAAACTTGTTTTGAACAATAAACGAACAAAAGTGCTAATGAAGAGAATAGGTGTACTCGGTGTATGTGGGGTGTGCTGCACTAAAGGATTTTTGTCTACATTTTACTAATATGTAATAATATCAGACTGTATTATGTACCTGTTAAACATATATTATAAATTACTTTAGCATTTACTCGTTAAAAGATAAGTACTTGACGTATAAAACATTTTACGAAAATGAAATTGATTAGGTCGGCATTCCACTTTTATTCATGTGTCATAAAACAGACTCTGACTAATGTAAACGGATCATTATGGTATCGTTACCTGCTCCTAGTAAATGTAAACGAAATCCTTTCATCACTCGATGCCGAAAGCCATTGTTCTAAATCAAACATGGATGGGTCATCAAGTTCGTTTTTGAACATCAAAAACTACGAAACTACAAAAATAGCTTTGTACTCTTCCAAAAGCACATGCGCAGATGCGTTCGAAGCGGATCAGACGTACACAATGTTTAACGGCTGAGGTAACTTGTGTAGTCGATCACTCTGCCACCTGGTGGGAGCGTCTTTCAACCCTTTGGTAAGAAGAAACGCTTCGTTACTCTATCTAATAAGACAAATGATCTATTAACTTATTTCTTCTCCTCTTTTATCTGCAACTTATGTTTGTGAATTAGGTATTTGCTAATAGTCGGCACAGAGGCTATGCACTTGCGGCCTGTGGCACAGAGCCCCTTCTCAGCAGTCGTACCACCACACACCTTGAACACCTCGAACAATACGGAACATCATTTATTTCATAAAACATTTATTAACATTTACGTCGGAACAGGCAATTTTGGAGTAGGATATGAAAATATGCAGGTTATTAAAATTCTTTAAATTGTTAAAAACCAAAATGGAAAGAAAGCGGTCACTAAAATGAAAAAGAAATAATTCAGAAACAGAAAACGTAGTATTTCTTAAGAATATATTTACTGTTACAGAATCCGATTTAGAAAAAGTTAACAGAACTAGGCTAGCATTACACTATTTGTCGTATATACTAAACATAGTTTAAACTGTTAAACTTTCTACACCAGGCGTAGGTTTTACAATAGTGAGTAAAAGTGCTGTAAGGGGGAGCACTGGTGTCAGGGGTAGTACTGGTGTCGTGGTGTACTGGTATCGTGGTGTTCTGGTGTCGGGGAGTACTGGTGTCGGGGTGGTACTTGTGTCAGGGGTGTACTGGTGTTTGGGGTGCACAGTTGTAGGGGGTGTACTGGTGTCGGGGATGTACTATTGTCGGGAAGTACTGGTGTCGTGGTGTACTGGTGTCTTGATAGTACTGGTGTCGGGGAGTACTGGTGTCGTGGTGTACTGGTGTCGGGGGAGGACTGGTGTCGGGGGTGTACTGGTGTCGGAGTAGTACTGGTGTTGTGGTGTACTGGTGTCGGGGGAGTACGGGTGTCGTGGTGTCGTGGTGTCTTGGTGTACTGCTGTCTCGGTGTACTGCTGTCGGGGAGTACTGGTGTCGGGGAGTACTGGTGTCGTGGAGTACTGGTGTCGGGGTAGTACTGGTGTCGGGGAGTACTGGTGTTGTGGTGTACTGTTGTCGTGGTGTACTGGTGTCGTGGGAGGACTGTTGTCGTGGTGTATTGGTGTCGAGGAGAACTGGTGTCGGGGGAGTACGGGTGTCGTGGTGTACTGGTGTCGGGGGAGGACTGGTGTTGTGGTGTACTGTTGTCGTGGTGTACTGGTGTCGGGGGAAGACTGTTGTCGTGGTGTATTGGTGTCGAGGAGTACTGGTGTCGGGGGAGTACTGGTATCTGGGGTAGTACTGGTGTCGGGGGAGTACTGGTATCTGGGGGAGTACGGGTGTCGTGGTGTACTGGTGTCCGGGGAGGACTGGTGTCGTGTTGTATTGGTGTCGTGGAATACTGGTGTCGGGGGAGTACTGGTATCTGGGGTAGTACGGGTGTCGTGGTGTACTGGTGTCGGGGGAGAACTGGTGTCGTGGTGTTTTGGTGTCGTGGTGTACTGGTGTCGGGGGAGGACTGGTGTCGTGGTGTACTGGTTTCGTGGTGTACTGGTGTCGTAGTGTACTGGTGTCGTGGTTAACTGGTGGCGGGGGAGGAATGGTGTCGTGGTGTATTGGTGTCGTGGTGTACTGGTGTCGGGGGAGGACTGGTGTCGTGGTGTA